TGGAACATCTACAAACCTGAGCCCAGCAGCTTGAGCTCCCCGACGAAGCCATTGGGGTGGAATTTTGATGCTTCCCTGATCAGGTTTAGGGTCGAAGCTTAGGAGGCTTAGGGCTTAGATTTTTAGGGTTTTCTGGTTTTCGGGTTCTCTGGCTTCCGTGATTCCACAGTACTTCATTCCGCTTGTGGTGCGGCTCTTTAGCCTTCCTTTTGCTTTCCTCTTCGCTAGGGCATGTTCCTGAACACAGAGGCTTTGCAGGAGCTTTCGCTTGAGGCCTCGGAAGTAGCGCTTTGTGGCTTTAGGAGAAATGGCTCAGGCCTCGACGTCTGGGAGTGAAGATATGGAGCTCAGTTCCGCGTGTTGTGACTCGGCGGCTTCATGTAGGGGCCAAATTTTTACCTATACTATTTGGAGGGTTCCTTGTTATAATTAAAATATAAGGGGCCCCAAAAACTTATTCTAATTATTAAGGCCCCTATATGAGGCGTCTGCGCATGAAGAAAACTGCGACAGCCAAGGGCGATTTCTGGAGCCAAGGCTCAGGGTCACGCCGCCCAAGAAATCGTTCTTGTAGTTCCAGTCTTGGTCATAGACCGTCAACCTCAAAAAAACGAGAGTGCAGGCACGTACAAAAAAGCGTATCTGTTAAGCGTTATTCATGCAGACAGGTCAGCTCATGTATGACACCTCACATCCGAGACTGCCACCAGCCCTATGCTGCTACGCCCATGCGCTGAGGATCTTGGAGCAAGTGAACCCAAGCAGCACAATCCCTCGATGCGCTCGCCGGCAACTCTCAGCTACGGCTGCCCTTAATGGGTCGCTTCAGTGCGAAGGCATCTGGCGCAAGGACCTTTACACCCTATCTGGCTGTCAGCCGATCGCTGCAAACTGAAACCATCTGAGCGGCTTGGGTGCCTAAATCCTCGACTGGAACCAGTCAACCAAAACCCTGAGCTCTGAGGCACAAAATGCTTGCCCCGATTCCTAAGGGCTCAAAGTGTTCCTCCCCAACCCTCCGCAATAGCTCCCAAACTTGCACCTGTGCTTGTTTTGACTGTCAACGTATAATGGTGTCATACGATTACCCCTGCTCTCCTTGCTTCAAGAGGGCTTCAGCGCACTCCCGACCTTGTAGTTCGGGAACTTGCCTGGAGCTGCGGGTCTGATAGGAGAACTCAAGGTTCCAGGGTTTAAGGCCTCGGAGTTTGTGTTTGGGGATCGCATGGCGACGATTAAAACTGATAAAAAGTTGCGGCGAGAAAATGCTTGTCGCAGGCTGGAAAACTCTAAGAAATCGACCATCCTCAAATCTGCCAATCAGAATCCAGTATAATGTAGGGGCCTTAATAATTGGAATAGGGTTTTGCGCTTAGTATAAATATAATCAGGACCCCCCAAGATACTATAGGTAATTATTCAGGCCCCTATATTACTTTAACTCCAGCCGGCATTGGTTTGAAGTGAAGTTCGGGGTTCTGACCCACAGCTACCAGCACCTGCGCCTTGCATGACCGCCCCATGAGTTTCAACCACGACCGGGGAAGCGCGCGCCTTCGAAGTCCCAGCACGGGTCCAGGCATTTGTCGATCACCGGCGTCTTGAAGGAGGCGCCGGGCTGCCTCGGATCCGGCATGCTTGGACATGAGCCGAACTGCTATAGGGGGACTCCCAAATAAGAGCTCCCTCCATGAAGCCGAAAGAAAATCATGGTCCACGAAGGCTCATGGCCAAGGCACCCGACGACCTCGCACGTGCAGAACGGATCGGAGGTTCCCCTGGTGCGCACTTCATGATTCCAGCTACACTCAGAGATGCTCAGAGTGCTGCAAACTCGGACTGTTCCGTTTGACCTCCTTGTTTACACGCAACTGTCAGCCAAGCTCAGCGAGATACCGAAGCTACGGAAGCCGAAACAAAGCCCAGGCTCCAGTTCATGAGGTTAAAATCCGCGGCGCGCAGCCCACGAGCCGAGACGATCCGTACCTGGCCACAAGAGAGGCTCTGCGATGAGCTTGTAAAGTTTAGTGTTTAGGGTGTAGGGTTTAAGGGTTTAAGGGTCTAGAGTTTCGGGTTGAGGGTTTAGGGGATGATGCAAACCTTCTAGGAGAAGACGTTGCTTTGAACATGCCAACACAATAGAAGAACCATAGTCACAGCTGCGGTCAGCAGCAGCAGTAGAAATAAACGCAGCAGCAGCAGCAGCAGCAGCAGCAGCAGCAGCAGCAGCAGCAGCAGCAGCAGCAGCAGTGGCCGCAATAGCAGGAGCACTCCAACAAAAAGCTTCTGAAACCCCAAGCTGAAACAAACCACACTGAAACAGAGCGGGGCCCACCCGCAACCCAGACTCAGCTGCATGAGGTCGCCGACCCAGCCGACCGCCCTCGCCTTAGGGCCAGGGTGTCAGGCCAGAGTGGGTCCGCATTCAAACGGAATGACTAGCAAGGCACACAGCTTAGAGGATTCACGTTCTACGTTCTGACATCAGCCGGCAAGTCCGGAATGAAGGGTCCAGGCTTCTGGGATTCAGAGTGGGGTTTATGACAGGGCCTTGCAAGTTCGGGTTCTTTTGGACGGGACGCATGACCGTTCCGAAGGTCAAGCAAGAACTACAGTCATGCTCGGTTTCTCCCTGCATGGCTGGGTTTGAGCCATCACACCAGTGCCGACGGCGTTCCTGCTTCTGCCAGCTTTCGAATACAAAGCATCATGCAGCACACAGCATCGCCATGTACACGTACATGCAATTGGAAACTGTATATGTCTATGCGTCTGTATACGTGCGTAAGAATGAGCGGCTGGCTGGCTGGCTGACTGGCTGACTGGCTGACTGGCTAGTGTTAGATATGCGTATATGAAACATGTTGTGCGTTGCACCTTTGCTTTGCTTGCCACACACGATGTTGCACCTATACCATACTATACCCTACTAGTAACACTAAACCCTCAACCCTACATTATACTCTACATCCTCCGATTCGATCTCCGACTTCTGTGAAGGCCAGGCGGCTGTGGCAGGCGCGAGCTTTTCGCTCCAAGGCCTGGCAAAGAGCTGAAAGAGCCTTGCGGGGGGTCGTCTCTTCTAGCCTCCACCTACCTAAATGCAACTATAATACCAAGAACAATGATAGTAATAACAATAATTGTACGAATAGTAGTGATACCAATAGCAATAACACTAAAAAATAAGACTAGCAATAATAGTAATTACACACGATTCTCGATCCCGGAGCAAGCAATGCAGAGCCACCTCTGCTTGAGCCCGCAGCTGGGAGGCTTGGAATGCCTGAAGTGCACAGCAGCTTGAAGCGTCTCGCACAGAACGGCTCAGGGTTTAGGGTTTAGGGTCTAGGGTTTAGGGTTTAGGGTTTAGTGATCATCCACAGTACCCTCTTTCGAGAGCCCTGTGTCTGAGCGCGCGGATCGCATCAAGAAACATTCGGCTGCTCCTCCCTGTCGGATCTACCACTGATGCCCGACACATCCAGGACTCATCCTGACGAACCATCTGCCGACACCCGACATAGGCACTGTGCAGTCAAAGCATGAGCATCGAAGATTCGGAACTAGATGCAAGCGTGAATTGTGAAGTACCACGGCACTCGAAACATTGAGAACATTGAACCGCGAAGGTCTCAGCCATTCTCCGAAAATCCTGTCTCTGCAGCGAAGGGGCGAAGCGTTCTGCCTCCCGCCTCTGTCTTCCGCTCACCGTCTTCGTCAGCGAGGCTTGAGTGGCCAACTGCGCAGCGTCACATGTGGTCAGAATCAATACCTTCTGCCGGCAGTAGCAAAATAAGGAAGCAGTCAGTCGGTGCAGAAGCATTGGCACGAGGCCCAATCATACCTCATATTAAACGTTCTGATCTGTTTTGATAAATTCAAGTGCCAAGCTGACAGGCTCCCTTCATGAAGCCCTGGACCTTCTGATTTCTGTGCAAACCCATCCATGGAAATCCCGTACCTGAATGGCGCCACTTCTGCGTTGCACAAGACAGCAGACGTATATGCGTACCCGAACCATGCAAGCAAAGAGCTCAGACACATACAGAAGGACAACATCAACACAACAAAATGAACGAACCACCGCAAGAAACATCACACAACGCCCACTCTATAACGCATTTCAGAAAGCTCACGGCAAAAATGCAGACATGACAGAGCTTAATGGCATCCATTGACTACATACGCATCGTAGTCCTCCCACATGTAGAGCCAGCAGACGTGGATCTAGAAAAGCTGAAGCAAAGGTGAGTTCATCTTGTCTTGCCAGGGCTCCTTCTTCGGCGTCATGTTGTTGATGTGCCACAATTGCAACTGTCCTAGGTTTGCGTTTCCAGGCTTGGGGGGGCTTCGGGTTGCGTTGGGGTAGACACTTATCGCTGCCGTGTGAGTTATCGAACGTGCACGGATCATTGCACTTCATCAACGGTTACGTCAGAGGTGCCCCGAACATCCTAAAACCCCAAAGTTACCTTTACCTCCGTGGTTGTAGTCTGAATTGAAACCCAAGCCTCGGATGCCTGCTTACTCAAGGCTTCACAGCGCCTGTAGCTGGTCAGTGGAGCCTCCAGAAAAGCCTGACACGGCTGCGTTCATCGGAAACCCTCACTCAACAAAGGGCCCTAATATACGGGCCTTATAATAAGGAACCCCCAAAACCCTATTCCAATTAATAAGGGCCCTGTGCTCCGGTGATGTAGGCTCGCAGTTTGCAGCTGAGCCGCCAGAGAAGCGCGGGCAAGCGGCGCCAGTCCAGTTTGTCAGCTCCTGGCAAGTTTGGTGCAATGCAGGGGCCTTAAACTGCAGCACCACACAGGCTGCGGAGCAACAGTTTTTCTCCAGGGCCTGCCGCATCGCAGTCTCAGCAACGAGGCTCAACGACAGACTACAACAAGATAAAGACAGATCGCGCTGCCCTGGAAGCTTAAATCTAAAGGTGTGACAGACCGCGTCTCTGCAACGGCTGCACCTGTAGCAGCGGAAAGAGGCAGCTTATGCTACCCTAGCCGATGGAATCTACAGGTGTGACAGACCATGTCTCTGCAACGGCTGCACCTGTAGCAGTAATGATACATGTAGAACCCACAGTTCGAGCATTCCTCGTTCAGTGCATACGAGCCATAGTTCCGATGGACCCAAGTGCCGTGCGGGCACTCACCAGCCATCAGCTGCTCTCTGATCAATTGGCGCTCAGGCTCTTCAACCCGGCGTCGCTCCACACGCTCAACGTTAGCCACTTGCCGACGCTCCTCGATTTCACTCAGAGTTGCCGCTTGGCTTGAGTTGCGGCTTGTTTGGAAGTTGCTAGCAGCAGTGGTGCAATGGAGGCTTCCGCCTTGCGTAAAAAGCAGGTAGCCCTGGCTGTAATTTGAGGCTGCTCCTACCCTGAACTTTTCTCCCCAAGTTGGTAAGAAGAAAATGCTGGACCAGCCTGCTCAGAATCTGAGGCATCAACTTGTGATGGAAGCGAAATCTTCTAGGCATGAATGTACTAAATTCCATCAAACTACGGGTATTCAAAACTGGCATCACAGACAGGCGTGTAAGAATCCTTGAAACTTGTACTCGAGATCAAACAGCAACCCTGGGAGAAGCCTCACCATGCGGAACAGAACGGTGTGCGCACTGATAACCCTGAGAACCTCGACATGAGCAAGACTTTAATGACAAAGGTATTGGAAACAGTGATCAGAAGGACAAACACAGGACGTGCCGGCAGCATAGCACGAAAAACTGAAGGAACAGGGTGGTCTCTCCACCATCAGTGGCGCTCCTCCTCCACCAAGTTGTCCTCTTGCCACAAGTCACAGCGACATTGCTGAACTTGCTGTCCACTGGCATCCATCCATTGAGTTCCGCATTGATAGCAAAAGTGATGGCCACAGCGGCAGGTCCTAAGCTGCTATTGACGAATTTGGCCCACGCTGCTTCTCACAACATGCTCCGCTTCCTGACCGTTAAACACGCAAAAAATGTGCATGTGTGAGCTCTGATCCACACACACACACACATCTTTGGTACGAAACACCTATGTACAGACAGCCCATGACATCTCTGTAAGAAGCTCAGTCCCGCTCATGTGGTTGCAGCCCGAGGCCAGCTGCACCATCACACCGCACTTCCCACACTTTCGCCAACCTGGGCTTCTTTAAAAAGCTAAATCCAAGCTGCCATAGACAAGACCACATTATTCGCTCTAGACCAAAGTATGGTAATCTAAGTTAAGCGATTACATCCTTCAACAAGGACCTAGCTGCCTTTCCTCTCCGCCAGCTCCTGGAGCTGCCTGTCTGCCTGCACGGGAGCAGCTTTGCTTTGGAGCTCAGGTTTGCTGTCCAAGCAGTTGCTCCAACAGTGTACAGGCCATCCCAAAGCAGGAACCAATCGTCGGAGAAACATCAAGCACCTCACATAAGGCCGTGTCAGAATTTTGCAACAGCGCCCGAAAAAAAAAAAATCTGGTCCGAATCACACATGCTTGCATAGTTCCCCCTTGACGCACGTCAATTCGCAGGAAGTAAGTCTTGATTTGTGATGAGGGTTATGCAGGTCCTACACATTGAACCTCAAGTCTTCTAAACGTAGCCCTGCCAGCCTTTAAGGCTCTCAGATTCTGCTCGGCTCTGGCCTCCGTAGTTCCTCGACTTTCCTTCGCTTCATTGCAGGTCATTCCTGGATGGGCTGCCCCACGACAAGGCAGGCAGAGCAAGGTTGCGCATCTGGGGCAAGGGTACCTAAGTGTCAGCGGTGCGAAACCCAATAGCAAGAATAGGCAAACACAAGCAAAGGGCTAGAAACCATTTCAGCATAAAGCCCAAGGCTAGCCCTCACCTGCATTGCACCAAAGCATACTTTAAGGCGCAGGCGAGTCGTGGTCTTCCGGGAGGTTGTCGAGGTCTAAAAAATGAGAACCTGAACAAGAAAGCGAGCTTTAATCTGCCGCTTGATTCCGCACATAATCTGACACCAAACCCCAACAACAAGCTGTGCAAAAAGCTGTGGGAGCGGACAGTACGGGTTGACACAATACATCTTCTGGACGGCCACAGCTTCCTTCATCCTCTCCACGAAGACATGCAGTTCGTGTCCGTGCAGGACTCGCTGTGCCAGGCCAATGTCCTCATCTCAGGTAACAAAAAAGGACCGAATCCTGACACGTTGATTCACGGTGTTCCTGCCTCTGTCCTCTTATTCGGCCACGGCAACACGAGAACCCCTCGCCCAGACAGCACATTAGCCTAGATTCAATGTTTTGCTTGCAGCATCGAACTGGCCAGAGTGTCATGTCGCCGACTGCCTTCGTGAATAGCTGCGCGAGGCAGCCTTTGCACATGCAATGGCCGCATGTCAACCGAAAGCAACGTCTCCTTGGAAAGCAGGAGCAAAGGAGATATTGGCATGTCTCGATTCTACATTGGAAACCCCAACCACCATCCTAAGCCCTCAGTGAAATTCGAAAGATCGAAAAACTCTGCACTTCAGGGTTTCCGCACACTTAGGACTTAGAACTTAGGATTCCGGCAAACACAAGGACAGGAACAAGGATCTGATGCTCGACTGAAGAGAAACATCGAAATGCAGCACGCAAGATTCTGCAGCAACTGAGTCCCGGACATCTCAAAGCAACTTGCCTGGACCATTGGTGGCACAGAAACTACGACGGGTCTTCGCTAGGGCTTACTGGCGTTTGAGGCTTAGGGTTGGGCTGTGGCCGCGAATCAGGGGGATTTCCAGCGGAGGGTGAACTAGCAAAACTTTCGGTTGTTATTGTCTTGTAACGATAACTTTATCGCCTCTGAAGCAGCCTCAACATGCAGATCGAGTTGCACATTTGATGCGTCGTTCTGAGCCATCTGCCGACGGGTGGGGCTCTGGCACTGGTGGAACCTGGTCATTCGATGACCCAGCTGCACCTGGCAAAACCTGGACAACATCACAAGGCAGCTGGTTGCTGGAGTCGACGGCCGCCACATCTGGTACGTCTTCCTGAATCACTGGGTGCTGCGGGGCTGCTGGCTCTTCAACACTTTCTATTGCACGGCGCAGGACATCTCGTACCTGCTGCTCGTTCCTGGCCGCATGCACTTCTTGCGCAGTCTGTGCATCATTGCGCTCCAGCTCTTGTACTCGAGAAAGATGTTGCTCGAGCTCCCTTGCCGCACTGTTGTCGGCCGCAGCCTCACGATGCAACCCGATCTCGATGGACTGAACTTCATAACTGAAACTAGCGTCATCAATGACGGCTTGGACTTGCTTCATGTCCTCTGTCCATAACTGCACCGCGCGAAGGTAATCGTCGTCCGACTCAGAACTGACAGGACTGCGTGTGCTGCCTGTCTGCAATGAAGCCAGATCAGCCTGAACGGTAGTGAGCTGCTCCACGACAGCCTTTCTGAGCTGACGATTCTCCTCCAAATGACGTAGTGACTCAATACTTTCCAGAAGTTTTTTCCGGATGGGCAAGCTAGAAATCTGGAGCTCTTCGCGGATGTCTGCCGCAGTCAGGGCTAGAAGCACCGTGCCATCAACTTCGTTCTGCTTGAACTGCTCGAGCACATCAGGACGCGCAACGTCATGACCTTGCCTTAGCAACCATGCTTGCACATCCTCAATCGTCCATTGCGTTGGAGACATCGGAAATAGATTGTGCTGATCACCGCCCAGACAACCAGATGGCCCGATGGCTAGCATGCACAAGAACATCGGAGCCAAATGTGACATACTGCGAGTCATGGCACTCACCCAGAAAAAAATGTGCAGCTTCAGAAGGTACTGAGACTGCAACAATCACATTCAACTTCTCCGTGTCCTCATCCTTGAACTCCATGATCAAGTTGTGCTGGAGGAGCACGGAGTTCAACTGAGCCACCACTCAAGCAAGAGCGCGGAAGTATGCTCCGACAGGCACACAGACAGAAAGAGGCAGACAGACAGACAGAGAGCGGTGCATGGCTGAGGCGCGTGTGCATAATCTGAAAACATATCTGATTAGAACCGAGCTGCTTCCATCGTGACTTCGCCTGCACCGGCAAAGCAACTGTGTGAATCCATGTCTGGGCCTTCAGTACTATGCACTTTGGAGCCTCGAAACTCCAGATCTCCCTAGAAGAAAGTATCGAAGCACTTTCTTTGCAAGGCTTCTGCTGGCTGATTGGTCCACCTCCCCTCCTCAAGGACAACTGCCTCTTCTACCGTTACGGCCACGACAGCTTGGTGAAAATTTGTCTTTTTCCCCCACAAAAATCCTATGAGTAGGAAAAGGACGGGGCTTTCTCTGGGATGCTTCCCCTCCTGACAGAGGCATCCAGGACCAGGCACTTTCCGGGCTCTCCGTGCATGGTAACTCCCCATGTAATTTAGCAACCGTATAATTAGTAACCTTTCGAGTTATATAACCTTATACTTATAGTATAGTCACCTTTCCTTATAGCAACCCTTATATCAAGCCTCTGGCGCACAATTCGCGGCCCCGTAGTGGCACCCATGCTGCAGAAAGGTCATGTCCCGCCCCAACTGCGGCACTACTTCAACGGCACTCCCGCACTGGTTCCGGCCACATCCTCCAAGGTGGCAAGCAAAAGCGGCGCCGCATCCGTCCCTGTTCCAAGTCGTGGTCTCCCCGCATCAGAATCGCATTAGCCGTCTGCCGCGTGGAGTGATGCCAACTCCCGCTGGCACTGCCCGTCCTCCGGGTCGTGCATCCCGTTTCGTGCCGTGTGTGCCGAAATCTCGTCGCCTGTTGGGATCTTCCAAGTCCTGGCAACCCCCTTGGCCCTTTGCTCTGGAGCTCCTGGTCTTCCTCTCTACGAGACTACAAAAGCAGAAGGGCTTTGCCAGCTCCAATCCACAATGACCCAGAGAACCCAATACCCCTTAATTAAGGAATATACCTTAAATCATAATATTAAGGCCCCTATAACTTAAGGTATATCCCTCAATTAAGGGGTGTTGGGTTCTCTGGGGATTCAAGTCCTACCAGAAGAGCAGAGCTCCGAGCGGCTCTGCCCCGAAGTTGCAAAAAACTTCGAAATTCCCAGAGACTCCAATATCCCTTAATTAGGGAATATTCCTTAAATTATAGTAGGATCCTTAATGTGATTTCAGGTATATTCCTTAATTAAGGGATATTGGAGTCTCTGGGAACAAGGAATCTAAGCGCGCCTATTCGTAGCTCCTCCTCGGGTTTGAGATCTGTGGACGAGTAGAAGGCAATGTGAACCTGTGGTCTTTGGCTCTGGGCTTCGAGGTTTTTGGAGCTGTGCCAGGATTTTCAGGCTTCAGCACATAGGGCATGCGAGGCTCGGGTTCAGGCGTCTTGGTGGAGGGGTGGCAAGCCCAGGTGATCCCAGGTGTCTCTTGCGAAGACAAAGCGTTACAGACTTGTGGATCTGAACGTGCTGATGCGTGGCACAAGTACTGTGAAACTCCGCTGTGGAGCGCCAGACTAGACCGAGCATGAAAAGCACTCTTCGGGAGGTTGCAATGAGAGGACACCTCAAATTCAGATCCATGCGCGGTACCCCTAGGCTGCAGAGATACTGGTGGCAGAAGCTATGCCAAAACAGACCGAAGCTCGGAGATTTGAGTCAACAGCATGCAAATCTGCCTTAGCCAAGCCCATCCCAAAATCATACCAAACCTTCTCCACCATAGGCTTATCAAGCAGAAGTTTCGGGCTACACCATGACTGCACGTGTAGTTCCCAGCCGTAGGTTGTTCGGCCCTTCTCTTCCCATGTCTGTGCTTGTCCCCAAATTCCACGCCCTAACCTCAAATCGCCTCGAAAGACCCGGCGCAGGGATCTACACCACTACTTACATGGTTAATATTGAGTGTTTTCACTATTGGATCACTCATGTTTGTGTATCTGTCTTTCTGCTTCGAGCTTGATCGAAAACTGCGGGCCTTCGTCGGCTTCGCATTGCGGATGAAGAACCGGAAGCTCTGCTCAAAGGTTGCCTAGGATGCGTGGAGGGTTCCGGGCTTCAGGGCTGTGGGCTCTGGACTTTCCGGTCTCTGAATTTTCAGAATCTCTGGCTCTTGCGCTTGTAGGGTCCATTGTTAATTGAGCTTGAGGGCTTCTTTCTTTCAGAAGGCTATCTCGGCCGTTCGCTTACATCGCCACTCCCCTCCACCCCTTGGGCCTCGTTCGTTGTTTTTAATACTCCTCCATCTTCCGACGAGTCGGTGCCGACAGGCTGGGAGGGCAGCCTACCTCGGGGCCCAAGCACAACCCACCCTCCAAACCGTGAGCACTACTTAAAGGTTCATGGGACTTAGCAATTAGGGTTGTAAATAAGGTAACTACAGTTATAGTTACTTACAACCCTAATTAAGGTACTTATAACTGTACCTATTAAGTTCCATGAACCTCCACGTAGAAACATGTCATGAACCCTCCAGCCCTGTCATACAACTCGAGGCAAAGCTGCGTACTTGGTTGCCTGACCAAGCATTCCATCGCTCATCCTCCGACTCCGGTCGATGCCAAGCATGCCAGCTACATAGTGTCTGTGTATCATCGGGTTTAGGGTTTAGGGTTTAGGATTTAGGGTTTGGGGTTTAGGGTTTAGGGATTAGAAGAAATACGTCCACGAGTATTATGCATCATCTTGTAAGCTACATTTCACAGACGGAAGATCGTCCCGACCTCTAGCTAAAAAAACATCCCGAGCTGAAACAACTAAAGACAAGAACAAGACAGGAAGCACCGATGCACAACTTGGGCAATACGGTACCCTGCTTGGAGGTTCATGGAACTTAATAGGTACAGTTTAAAGTACCGTAATTAGCGGTTATAAGTAACTATAACTGTAGTTGCCTCATTTATAAGCCCAGTTACTAAGCCCCATGAACCTTTAAGCAGTAACCCTCATATGGGGAAAGGCATCAGGACCCTTGAGCCGGAAATCCCCCTAAGTTTAAACAACCCTACATCACTTTTTCCTGAACCCTCAACTCGAAGCCCAAAGTCCTACACCCTAAAATCCTTGACCCTCAGCTCAGCCCAAAATCCTAAGCCCTATACATCCTAAACCCTAAACCCCAAAGCCTAAACCCGAAATCCCAGTGTCACGTTCACTCAAATCTGCCGAAAGCTCCTGCTGACCGTCTCGGACTTCTGCCTCATTCACAGGGCGAGGGACGTGGTTGCAGGCTTCGCTGGGTTTTAAGTTTGGGTTTAGGGATTCAGGTTTAGGGTTTAGGTTTTAAGTTTGAGGTTAGTCCTTCGGTCCAGTCTAGGGCTTCGTATTTGTAGGGCTGTAGTTTGCAGGAATGCGGGTTCGGCACCCGCCAAGCAGATAATAGATCTAGAGGACAGTCTCAGTTTCAGCAAAACCCAGGGGAGCGGTTCAGTAGGATCAGGATATAGAACTAAGGATTTAGGGTTTCGGGTTAGGGGCTTCTCACCCGCATGTTCAGCACAAGTTTGCCGAGGCACGCTACAGGGTGCGCAGCCGCAACTACCCGGTCGGACGTCCGCTGAGACACCCCCTCCTGAAAAGCTACAAGAACGAGATCTTGATAAGTAGAATAGGGTTCAGGGTTTATTGCTCCGGGCGCTTAGGGTTTAGTCTTTAGGGTATAGAGACCTTGCCAAGTAGACGAAGGTTCTGTCAAGGTTGGAAAAGCGGCTTGTAGGTCTCTATGAGAATTCTACAACAGAGGGGCCATAATACTTAGGACAGGGTCTTGGCTAAAAGAATTGTAACAAAATTATAGGGATGCCATTCTTAACTATTCCGACCCTGTAGTAAGCGGCTGGTATATGAAGATGACCATGCATGACTTTGATCGGGCTATCATTACTCTTCTCATGGCAAACAACCTGTTACTGTTCCGAGGAGTGTCTCGATACTCTATGGGTGGTTGTCAAAAATATGGTCCCTTTTTGGGTCCGTAATATAATACGGCACCTATTATTTAGGGTACCCCAAAAGGGACCATAATTTTGACAACTACCCATATAGCTCTTGCATATCTGCCGTAGACAGACAGCGCGAAGAAACTCTGCGGAGGGTACTTTGACCGCCTTGACCCAGACTCTGAAGCAAGCAGAAACCCAGGTGGAGGAGGGTTTAGGGGTTTAGGTTTTTTTTTAAGGGCCCTTAGGGTTTAGGATTTAGGGTTTAGGGTGTAGGGTTTCGGAAATGAGAATCACTCCTGCCGTAGTTGTGCAGAGCCAATGCCCCAGCTCCAAACCCTACATCCTAGAGCCCACGCCCATACACTAAACCCTAGACCCACACCCTCATAACCTTAAAGCCTAGACCCTAGACCCTAAACCCCAAGATCCTGCACCCTACAACCCTAAAACCTACACCCTAAAACCTACACCCTAAACCCTAGATCCTACACCCTACAACCCTAAAACCTACACCCTAAAACCTACACCCTAAACCCTAGATCCTACACCCTACAACCCTAAAGCCAATAACCCTAAAGCCGAAACCTCTGTCCTGGGGCTCTTTGCAGGTGGCGCCCGTCGGCTCCAACCCGGGTAGGATGGTGCAGCGCGCGAAGAACCTGAACCCAAAGAGCCAAAAGGAATATACCTTAAATTCTAGGGGCCTTAGAAAGGAATATACCTTAAATTATGGGGGCCTTAAAAAGGAATATACCTTGAATTATGGGGGCCTTGGTGTTATGATTTGGGGTATATTCCTTAATTAAAGGGTCTTGGGCTCTCTCTGGGAAGGTCTAAAGCTTGAGGGACTCTCTGCCTTGGGACCATAAGGGGAATCCCACTATTAGGGCCCTTATAGATCCCTGTCCCTTATAAGGGGAGCTCTGCTGCTATAGAGCCCTTTAATGGATCCCTTAGGGGTGGGTGGGTCATAGGGTTTCGGGGTCTGAGCCCTTGCGGTTTGGAGAGGCTTGGGCTTCGTGAAGTTTCTTTACGCCTGAGACTCCACAAGCTCACTCAGAGGTTCATGGGTGGATCTAAACAGGGTCATAAGTAGGGGAACTATAGTTACAACCTATACTAGGGGGCTTATACCTCCACTTATAACTACCCATGAACCTCCAAGCATGGGAGCCCTCTGAGGGGCAGCAGCGGGCTTGCAGGTTTAGGATGTCAGGGATCTTGGGCACAAGGGTGCGATGACTTCGGGTGGCTGAAGGCTTAGGAGGGCGGAGGGGTCCGGTAGGCCATGAAGGGAAGGCTCCCCTTATCCGCCTCGGCTTTCAGATTTCCCTGGCTCCTGGTCTGCTGTTTTACTGTTCAGTTTCGGGTTTAGGGTTTTTGATCGCTGACTCGAAGGAACTACCTGGGAAGGAGGATGCAAGGCCTGGGAGCATAAGTCATGCTACAATCCGCTTGAGGTGCGTGTTTCGTGAAAACCCCAGCTCCTGAAGCGTCAAGCCCGAAGCTTCGAAAGCCTCAGCTCCGAAACTCCCAAACCCTGAAAGCCAAGATCCTACAGGATCACCCCCGGTCTCCGGAATCCCCACAAGAACCCTAAACGCTCAAACCCTCAAACCCCAAGCCCCTGTTTCACACCGGCAGAGAGGTCCAAGGCGCTGGTCTGTCCTTCGGCCCGTAAAGTGGCCTGGGATGTCGAAAAAAGGCACTTAGTATCGGGCTTGTTCAGAGACCCTGTTCTAGCATGAGGTTCAGGGCTTGTGGTTTGGGGTGTCTTCCCTCGCAACATCTAAAAGTCTATGCTAAGATGGCGCCACCTCACACGAGAAGGAGTGGGTGGCGGCACATCTTGCTTCAAGCGGCTGTCCCTGTGAATTATACTATTCTTGGTGTTCCTTATTATACTTATAGTATAATATACCTTAAAACCCTATTCTAATTATGACAGATCAAAGTTCTTCCTACCCACTGGGGACCATCTCCTGGAAGGGTTCGGGGCGTCCTCAGATCCCACTACCTAGGCTCAGACTCTGGGCTCTGGCCGCCTCTGGGCGCTGGGGACTTGGGGGAGCCTGGCACCCAAAAAGGGAGGATCTCGGTATACGATCGGATTTAATCCCGTGAGCCCCACCCGTTCTTAAAAAAGGACTGCCACGTAGCTTCAGTCTTATGTGATGGGTGGGCACGGCTGGGAATGCAGAGTTGAGCATCTACGGTTCAGGGAGGCGCCTGAATAGTGTCAAAATCTGGTCTTTGGGTGGATTGATATTTCAAGCATATTAAGCGGTCCTAGTTATGGCCAACTAGTTTGTAGTGCTTAGGGTGTTTGGGGTTTGGGGATGGTTATATTGTTGGGACTCTTGTGGTTTTGGTTGTTTGGATTGGTGTTGCAGGGCTTTCGAGGTTTTCCGGCCTGTGGGGTTCAGGGTGTGAGAATACCTGAATGCATCAAGGCCTGTACTTCAAGAAACCATATCCCTAGGCTGGTATTCCGGAAGATGGCTACAGGATGAATCATGCTTGGTTGCCAGTCAATCATTCTGCAAATTTGCACACTGCGTGGCTTTGGGAACGACCAGTGGAAATCCCAAGCCTCCTAAGCGTCGCTGTAGAAAGCTGTGATTTGGCGACCTGAGCCCTGAAGAAGAGATTTCCCACTCCACCGCTACATATACCCTTACTAACTGCACTCCCTGATCTCCAGAGCAGGCCCAGCGTCGCATCTCCAGATGCTGCACGCCCACGCGCAGGACGAACAGAGGCCAGCGGACCTTCCGGCTTCGGGGGAGAGGAGCTGGGGGGGGGGGGGGGGGGGCGGAAGACGGCCGTGAGCCTCTTCCTCTTCTTCTTCGCTTCCTTCCTCGTCGTCCAGAAAAACATCCTTGCGTCGCTACGCCGAAAGGAGGATACCGACGCGGGCAAGCACAGGGATGCGCAAGACACATGAAGGAATGGCTCGGGTGCATGTGACAGAGGCCGTGGCATGTGCAGCACCTTAACACGTGGAATTCCTTGCAAATCCAAGTTCGGGAAGCCTCTTCTATGGATGCGCTGACATCAAGGAATGCCCCATCCACTGAAGTGTCTCCTACCCTCCGGACGAGTTGCCGGAGGCAGCTGAGCTGAGACGGATTGCGAGATAGGTCTCCACTGCAGGCCTCGCTTGAGAGCCAGGGTCGAGGATTCAGGGAGATCGGATGGACATAAACTAGCACTAGAAGCATCAGCATACAATATGTACGTGTACATGACCAAGTATGTGTGTATGTGTATATATGTATGCATACCTGTTGACACCACCGACAACAAGTAGAACGACAACGACTACAACAACAGCGACGACGAGAAGACTAACCATAACAAAACGCAGAACCAGCACCGGCGGCGACCCCGGAGTTGCAAGCAGAGAACTTGCAAAGGTGGAACAAGGGTTGGTGACAAGGATTGATGCTGGTACCACCGGAAACGATGCTGAGCTTAAGCATGATGGGGATCCTGCTACTTCTAACAGTCTATCAACATAGTGCCCAAAACATACACACAACTGAAGTTGTTCACCCTAAACCCTAAACCCTAAACCCTTCAGAAGAGGCGCCGAGCTCAAGCATAGCCTTGCCCCCGTTTTCCGGGTCCGGGTGCTCTTTGCCTTCACGGCTTCGGATTTGCGGCGCTCTTGGGTGCGAGCACTTGGTTCCGGATAGTGAAGTGTTTTGGCATGTTCGCAAATAAAACCTCAAAAAACTAACAGCCCCAAACCGCGTGAGGTCTTGGGCTCCTTAGCCTGTCGAGCTGGTCGCGGGGCTGGGCATGTTTCCTCTCAAGGCCTACTAATCCTACCCCCGACTACTGTGAGTTGCACACGGCCTGGCCACCCCTGCTCCAGCTCGCAGGTGCGCTCGACCTCCCGCTCGCGGTCCTGGGCAGCAACGCTAATGCCCTTACACCCGAAATACACGGTTTAGGGCTCGCGGTTTGGCGAGCAGAATTCATCGCTTACTCTTCCGCCGCAGGTGTCGGAGGCCTTTGCATTGCTTTCCCGGGTCGTAAACAGCTGCTGACCAAGCAGCAAAGTAGTCCAATGACTGGACACCGAAGAGGTCCAGAACGCCTCGTGTTCACACTCTTCGATCTATCCCCGAATCTCGTGTAATATGACAGATTAGTAGATCTGACTGGCTTTGTACAAGTCCGCCTGCCCGTGTTGTAGCAGCCGTATGTGCATGCATGTACTTCCCCATCTATCTAGGCATCTATCCATGCGTCTATCAACCTTCCGTCTACCTGTCTATCTATCTATCTGTTGATCTATCTACCTATGTATCTACCTGTCTATACATCCACCTGCCACCTCCCTATACCTACCTGCCTACCTAGGTAGCTAGCTGGCTCGCAATCTAGCTATCCACGCATTCATCTTGGTGTCTATCGATCTATCTATGTAGCCTTGCATATGCCAAAGACTCAAGATTCACGTTGATTTGTCCCAGACTTCGTATTGCCAGGTTTCCGAATTTTCGGATTTGTGGGCCCTAGGTCCGGTGTCCAAAATTCTACCAGAAAGCGCCGCAATCAACCAATCTGCAAAGTGAGGCTGCAACTCGCCCTCGCACATCTTGGAGACGAGCATGCATTCAATGATCTAGATAGGAGGTATCCGGCGTGTATGTTGCCGCCGTTATTCCGAATGCCCCTGCAAAAAATAGCGACTAATATGAGAAGTAGAACGTGCAAAACGCAAGCCTCGAAACGCCCACCAACTACTAAAAGTAGCCAAAAGTCATGGAGAACATAAGAATGAGGAGCTCGGAATTTGCAGAAATGAAGTGTAACATGGACTCTGAAATCACAGCAGAGAGAGCAAGTGGAGAAACGATCGTAAACGCCGAGGCACACAAGCAAGAAATAGCGCGGCAAGATGATACATGCCGCATTTTTGGAATAGAAATGGACACGTCATCTGAATTGGGAGCTCTCTCAATCCGTCTACCGCGAACCCTTTCCTCGAAAGAAACATCTTGGCGGTGCCACCATCTCAATAACATGGAGTATCCCCATGCCATCCCTGTTCAATACAAGACCCATTGAAAAATAAGGTGTCTAACCCCTAAACCCTACGATATACTACCACTGTATTGTGATACAATATCCTATGCTATGACGAACTGAAAAAACCCTCAAAGGCATCTCTGGCCTGAACCCCAAACCCTAAACGCCAAAATCCTGGCGAAGACGAGAGGCGCACTCCCAGCTTTCGTGCCATCTCATCCCCTTCACTGGCCACACCTTTGCAAGGGAGGCGGCCTTTGGGTTTTGAGGCTGAGCGCTTTCAGGGGAACCCCCAAAGCTAATGCTCAAGAACAAGTTCAAGTCACTTCGGTAAGCTTCCTGATTCACCTTGCTTTCTCCCTACTGCGTGTACACTGTGTACAGGAATCTGCTTCCACATATCTCAACGAGCGGCGCGCGTGGAATATCTTGAATGGCTCCCTAAGCACTGTTTGAGGCAAGGGTCCCAGATGCTGCTCTCGCAGCTGCTGCATAAATCCGTCGTCCCAGATGCGGAAATTGAAGTGCTGTATTCGCCTGTGGTCTAGGGTTTAGGGCGGGGTTGGGACTCGGGCTCAAGCCAAGAAGCCTCTGCTCAGCCAGGACACGCAACACATGAAAAAACAAAGCTTCTCAGTCTCCGAATGAAGGGCAAAAGACTGCAATACCAGTTTACACTCGGCACCTCTCGAGATCCTGCGCGGCCCTTCCTGCCCTTTTTTCAATGTAACATTCCGACTGCGAGGCCACCAGCTGAAAAGAAGAAGAGACTCGATGATGCCACGACTTTCCAGTCAAGGTGCAAGGCATCGATGACCTGAGGAAGCACTGGACGACTCAGGCTGTCTTGGATATATACCTGGGATCCTTGTCCTTGCCCCAAACTCCTGGTCCTAATCCAAGGATGCGACGAAGAAGAACGAGTTGTGGTCCTGCGCGATGGATTCTGCAGAAACTGGTTGGCGAATAACCTGCAACCATCCTCTGCGAAAAAAGCTTGAAAGCATGCACCTCAAACTTTAGGCGTCGCAGGTTGGGGTGTCGAGTTCGGGGATGGGGTTCACTGTGCTAAAGGTTCAGGGATTTGAACGTAACAAACCCATGATTCTCTCAACCACTCATTAATCTCCCTGTGCTCCTTCCACGCAGGCTCAAGCGTGTTGTAGCACGTCGGAGTCCTCCACAAGGATGCAGAATCCGAGAAGCCGAAGGCTATACCGAGGATGTCAGCCAGTCTGTCTGCTCCCTCATCGGGTCCAACAGGCACAGCGGAAGTGGCATCCACGTGCGACAGAAGTACTACGACCCACTGCTACTGCTACTACGGCCGCTTATGCTGCTGCTATCAGTTGCAGCAATCACGAATACAATAATCATGACAAAGCCAATGCCAACAAACACGACACACAGATCAAAGTACAAGAAAACCGAAACATAAACGAACACAATTAACACTTGCTGTGCATCTTCTGTCATCTCCAACGTGGCCAACATTCGCATCTTCTGCTCATCGAAGTCGTCGGGGTGATACTTGCAGAAGACAGATGTTGTTGCACCATCCACGGCAACTTCCATCCCAATGTTCGTGCCACTCTCCAGCACCCGCTTGGTGCCAGCCACACTCATACGGCGAACTTGTTTGCCATGGAAAAGTTCTAGGCGTTCGCTCAGGCTGTTCGAGATCTCGCCTAAAATTGCGGATGTGGATAGCGTGGAGACAGCATGGCACAACTGAGACCAGAGCTTTTCCTTCTTGATAACACCCCCGACATGCTCAGACTTGGAAACAACATCTATCAGGCTTCGAAGGCTCTCGTCCGGCACATGGTGGTCCAGGACTTTGAAAAATGAATCCACGGAGTTCAAAGCATACGGCCCATATCCCGGCTCCAGCGGGTCGGCTCTCCAAGCAGCAGCCATTTCCCACCTGCGTGGCTCAGTATATATGTCTGAAGCCAGGTATTGTTCGAACATTTCTTCATCCTGCCGCCCGAGAATAGCTAAGGCATGGTGCCAAAAACGATCAAACAAGCAGTCACTGCGGAGGAAAGCGCTGAAGCTGACCCAGCGTTGCACTGCATCCCACCTGCTTGTCCTCCGCAGTTTCTTGACACCTGTCTTTTGGATGTTCTTTTTGATATGCTGCAAACTTCTGGCTAAAGACAGCGCAATTCCACAGTAGTCCTGGCATCTTTTCACAAGGCCGGTGCCCCCATCAAGATGATCTTTCAGTGTGAACCCGCATGCCTCCTGCAAATGTCCATCGGTGCTCTGCAGCAGCAGCTGGGTTGCAGTGCTGCTTTGTGATGGTGCCAGCGCAAAGGCCAGCGGGATGAATGTGTTGCGAATGACACCGCCGTCATCATGTTGTGCCAGCCAACCCAATGCAAAAAGTTTCACGTTGGAGTTGGAGATCTCGTGCGTGGCATCGCACCCAACTGAAGGGCGTGCTTTGTGATGGCCTCTTTAGGCCTCTGAACCCGCTGCAAGGATTTCCGTCGGCTGACCTGGCTGCGCGTTGGGATATCAGCATCAGCCGCATCATGGTTCCTTTACACATAGTTGTAACTGGTTTTGTGGACCGGCTTACGTTCGTTAAGCCCCATTCGGCAGTGATGATTTCTGCCATGCTGCAGTTTTGGTGCGCCAGGGTGGTCACCTCCCACTCGTTTGTGTGGAGATCACGTCTGGTCACGGTGGCGTCCAAGTCTTCCGAGACACCAGCCCCGTCCAACACCAACGCCCCGTGGGGCCACATGTTGAGTTATCAGTTGGCTGTTTGTAAACACGTGACGCCGACGACGTGAGAGGAAATTGCTTTATCGCTACAATGTCTTGAAACTGCAATGTCAGACAAAGGATTATAGAGACGAGAGGTGCACTGAAGTGTGCCTTGCGAACGTCGAAGTGGTTCTGTGCAGGTACAGTCGACTGCTGGCTTTTGTTCCTGCGGTTCCTGCGAATGTGATGCTCATCAGCTGCCCAAGCAAGCTTGCGATTTCAAGCAAAAACTGCAAAAAACACAGCGGCAACATGCGAAAACCACTTTTAAAACCAAGGCCTACTCTAGGAAATTCAAAGAAAGCTGATGCTAAATAATCAGGACAACACAAGAAAACCAAGAAAATCACGGGTTTAACCGCAAAAAAAGTGGAATGCCAAACAACAAAAGGTTTCCCAAGCTGAAGCTCCGGGCATCACCTCCAAAGCGCCGCAGGCTCTAGTCTCAGCGCGAAAACACAACTGACGTGAGAATGCTGCCCACGTAATTCAACGTTCTGACTCTAATTCTGACTGACATACTGAAAATTCTCTGAAATACTGAAACGAATTTCGTGCCAAAACTTCATCCAGCAAAACCCACAGGTCGGTCGATGGCTGAAGTGGCCTTCGGGACTAGACAATGTTGCATGTGTCTCGTCGTCTTGCGTGTCTGTCAAGCCTCTGAAACCTTGTAGCCTTTCAACGTACTCACTCCCGCAGCTTTTCTCTCCAATATCGTCCCAAGCATCATTCACCCTGACGGTGGCTTCCTTGGCCGAAGTGGCCGCTCCGTGTTTGTCTGTCCGGATGGACGTTTAAGAGCATTCGATTCTGCAAGGTCAGGAGCTCCTCTTGATTCACCAAGTGCAGCTGCACCTTCGAAACAAGTATGGCATTGCTCCCTGTGACACACACAAATGTTAAAGCTACGCGCGCAAAAATGCTGCCGAAGTACCAATCTGCGAAAGCGCTCTTCATCCCTGGTACAGGCGTAAGAAGAAGGTTCCACGGCAAGCACGTCAAAGTGATCGGCGGCCGCAAGAACCCTTGCCACAGCTGAGCTGTCCGGTTGTCCCATCGCGACTCTCACTCTGTAAACAAGTATTCAAAAATCAACGCCAGCTGCCTCGAGCTATCAACAGCACGGCGTTGGCTGCTTCAAGCCAGCGGTCAAGGTCGATGCACTTGCTGACGTCAACCGTTTGGTCGGATACTGTGGGTCCAGGATTGGCTTTGCTTCGGGTCCCCACAAAAGCAAGACGCAAGCATTCTTCCGCAGTCGCTCCTGGATTTTGCCGTTGTTGCCCACACCGATGAAGTGGTCCACCGAATAGAAGAGGTGCTGGTTAGAGTGAACGAGTTCCTCGAAGACATTCGAAATGAGAGAATAGGCTGGAGACTTGCCGGCGTTGGGATCGCCGACTGGAGCAGCCCACCAGCGAGCCTTGCAAGCAAACTTCGAAGAGCGATCAAAATACAAAGCGATGGCCAAGTCTTTGTGCTGACAGGATGCCAAACATGCTTGAAACAGGTCGAATACATAGAGGCATGGCAACCCGCCGCCCCGGTGCAAGTACTCGCACATCACGGCCAGGGGCAGGGTCGTGGTGAAGCCGTCCACCATGAAGACACTCGCACACACACACAACAAAAACAAAGAAAAAAAGATCTAGAACAAAAATGGATCTGTGCGGCCCTAAACCCTAGGAATAAAGCCCGGACCTGAGGGTTCGCTCGGCGGTTCCCCCGAGGTCGACAGTAACGTACCTGCTCACTAACCCCTAAACCCGAAACTGGGTTCTTCAGCGTGTAGAACGATTTTGGATCAGGCTTCAAAGAGCTTGGGGTCAGAGGAGCTGCGTGCCTGAGGTACGATGTACGAGACTGGAAACCATGATGTGCATTCTGTGTCTTGAGATAGTTACGGCGAAAATGCTGATGCTGCCGATGATGACACTAATGTTGCTGGCGATGGCGATATGATTTGATTGCGATGGTACCTGTGGCAGAGAAGGGGGACGATGGCGATGATGATGGTGATGGTGGTGATGATGACGATGATGGTGATGATGATGATGATGGTGGTGATGGTGGTGGTGATGGTGATGGTGATGGTGATGGTGATGGTGATGGTGATGGTGATGGTGATGGTGATGGTGATGGTGATGGTGATGGTGATGATGTTGATGATGATGATGATGATGATGATGATGATGATGGCGATGATGGCTCTGCCCTAACTAGATTCTTCAACGCTAAAAGCTTGCATCGGTCTGGGGCACGGGTCGTTCGACCTGCTGCCAGTGAGGATTGACGCCATCCTCGGCGTGCTGCTTGCTCGACTATGAGATCGCGGATGTGTCCACACACAGAACGCAGAATTTCCAGACGGTATCAGAAAGTTGCGCCAGAAACAAGGCAGCACAGCACCTCCCACCCAAACCCCCAACGTCCAACCGGAAGGCTTCCACTCCGTGCCGACCAGGCCATTGGCTCCTCAAAGCGCAAGCAGCTCTCCGATCGAAAACCGAAGGAAGGGAAACAACCGTGGACCCCCCCCTCGCAAGGCGAGTAAAGCTCAAGCTATAGAGACCTTCGGCTGCCCGCGCGTCCTTTCACGGTGAGCTTCAAGCAGCCTTTCGGCATCGGGTTCCTGGGAGGCCCGGATCCACAAGGGCATGGCTGCTAAGTTGTAACCGCATGAAAGGCTTAGTTTCTCGAGATCCGCCTTGGTGCATGTTATGCTGCGGGCCCCGAGAGTTTAGTTACAGGTTACCAGTTGCAGATCGTCAAACTGTTCCGTGACAAACGGCACTGATAGCACCCTCAAAATAATTTGAACAGATCATCAAATTCGAATTCAAACTATCAGGACGCAATCATCTTCATGCCCAATATGGTGAGCACCTTTGTCATCTGTGATGAATCAACGTCTCCATCCTCCTCCGTGGTGGCTACGGATATGACCGTCATCGTCGTCGAAAACGTCATCATCATCATCACCATCAACATCACAACCATGGAATACCATGGATATCTTCTTAAATCGCCGTCACCACCGCCGCCATAATCATCATCTTCACCATCATAACCATCAGCATCGTCATGATCATCGTAATCAGCATTATCATCCTCGTCGTCCTAAATCATGTCGTCATCGCACTCAACATCACCATCACTATGATCTCAATCATCGTCGACCTCGCCATCATCAGCATCATCACCAACACCATCATCATGGCCAGGTAATTATCACCATTCTCAGTGTCGTCGGCATCGCTCGTCTCCGCCGGCGTCAACGCCAGCATTCAGCATCACCCCACTGCCAATTAACTACGACTGCAAAACGACATAGACGAAGACGACGACGACGACCACCACCACCAGCACTAGTACTACTATGGCTACTGCTTCTTCCTATATTTTGCTCTGAGTATGTGGTTCGGCGTTGCCACGATTATCCTGATTGTCCTTTGCCGCTACAAGCTGGTTGCGCAATAACTGTTGTTTTGTCGTAGCACTTCCAATTGCGGCGGACTTTCATTCCTGCCAACGATAGCAGTACGGTTGATGGACAAAATTCTGTATGACCCAAATATAGTATAGTACCATAAATCCCATAGTTTAGGTATATAAGGTAGTCCATCAACCGTATGACTAAGATACTGAACACGATTATCTTAGATCACCTCGATGATTACTATTGTCGTTGATACAGTTGCTTCCCTGACGATGTTTCTACCTCTGCCGCTCCGTTGCCATTATTGGTGTTGCGATTGCTGTTATCTGTGTCACCTACTGTTCTGTTACCATGATTATGGTTGTCATATAGATGTTCTGTCTGGCGTTGGCTTCACATGAATCCCTCCTCCACTCCATCAACTCTTACACCTGGAAATGTGAACCTGCCTGAGGCCTGGCAAGGTTCGAGCGGGGGATGCCCGCAGCTCTAAACCTGCAAGTATGTGGGGGTTTCCGAAATTTAGCGGACCCTAGGGTTTAGGGTTTAGGGTTTAGGGTAATATTGTACCCTAAACAGTAGGATCCTTATTATAAGGACCCTAAAATAGGGTACCCTAATTTTCGGAAACTCCCATGTTGGTTCACGATCAATACACCTTGTCAAGGAACCCCGAAAAGTCGTCCTCTTAGCCTTGCCATGTAAATGAGGGTCATGGGACTGGGAACTCCTCCTGAAATCACATGTATATAAATGTGATTAAATCATATATATATATATATATACATGTATGTATGTGCGAATATGTATGATATGTAACTATTTGACTTGGCACTTTGCTCTTATCGCTTCATGAGTTTATGCACTAGCTGTTTCAAGCCTGACTAGGGACATTTTTGCCAAAAAAATGCTACCTGAACCCTAAACTCTAAACCCCAAACCCTAAGCCCTGAACCCTAAACCCTAAACCCTGGGCGAGCGAGTCGCCCAAGGTCGAAGCTGAACGGGAATTCACGCATCGGCATCACCACGCGCTGGGGCAGCACCATCCATGGTCCGAAGGTGCCTGTTGAGGGTTTCAGGCGTAGGGTTTAGGGTTTAGGGCCTTTAGGGTTTAGGGTTTAGGGTTTCAGGTCTAGGGCTTAAGTTTTAGGCTGCGGGCCCACCCTGGCCGCGAACTCATAGCCTGCCCGAAATCTAGCTTCTGTGACATGTCTCCGGTATACGAAAGTCTTGATTTGCGGCGTCTGTCCAGGGTTTACTCTGTAGGAATGAAAGACTCTTTTGACCTATTCGACTGTCCCAAGCGGCCGTTGACAGCACCAACGATGGCATCTTCGACCTTCTCAGAGATTGCTTCAGGAGCTTCGGGTGGCGCGTGTCCCTATGAAATTCAGCCTTCTGCTAAGGTCACATGCAAACAGCAGGTAAATCGTGTTGGACATATGTACCATGTGAGGCAATGCGGTATCTTCCTTACTACCACTTCTTCACATCAGTTCCTTCACGGCCGCCATCTGCATGATCGCGGTGGTCAGTTTGTTTCTACCATCATCAACAGCAACGACATCACCATCTTCACGATAGTTCTGTCTACTCCTGTCTTCATCATGTTCGAGAACATCATCGCCATCAGCGTCATCACTATCTTTATGAAAGTCTTCTGTGTTTCTGAAGGCACTGGCCAGATTTCGGAGTCATCTCTTTTCTTGCTGTGACCCTTGCGCAGTTTGATGAGAGCGGTGTGTATCAATCTTTGTTTCTCTTGCAAGGCGCCATGCAGTTAGTGACGTACTTTTGCGCAAGAACCACTTGAACCTGTTCCTCCACTCCGCTGGCCAGCCCTCAAACCCCTCAACCCAAGCCCAAACCCTTAAAACTCAACCAAACCCAACCCAAACCTGAAAGCTGTGTCCAGCATAACCCGCTCACAAGCCCTTGCTTCGTGCAAGCGGGTGTCAAATCTGGAATCGAGGCCAGTCCTGGGTTTCGGATTCAAGGCCTCGTGGGGTCTCGGCACCCTGCACTTCCGATCTTGCGATGCCGCAGAAGCGAGGCATACGTTGTATGCTAAGTATACTATAACAGCCTCGCATCGTAAGGGGACCACAGTGAGTGGGACGTCTCCGCAACCGCAAGTTCTCTTCAGACTAGCCTTCAGACATCTCCCAGTTTGGCAAGGGATACCCACGGGGCCTTAGCCTAATTCAATGAAAGGGTGGTGCACGAAGAGCCTCCACAAACAGGGCCCCCCATGCACTCGCGTGGGTCTAAATCTGAAGCCATGGGGCCATCCATGGGTGAAGTCCATGCCAAGGTAGGGATCGTCCATGGCCTCTCCATGGCGTCGTCGCTTGAACACAGGTCGTACTTCTTCCGTCCACACATGGGCAATGTCAGTGTGGCACCCTCAAGAATCCATTCAGACGAGCGTCTAGATCTGTGCCGAGGACGTCTCGAGCATGCATAAAGGCCTGGGAGCTGGCACTTCACATCTGGCAATTCCGATGAACATCTGATGAACAGCTGTGCAAGCCGACGGGTGCCTTGGGCAGCGAGTTGGAAGCCTTGAACCCTAGACAATACACATGACAGCCTGAGCCAACTGACACCTTCTTGAAAGCAATCAATTTCGCCGCGCTTGCATCCTGCCATCAACCGGTCCAGGAAGAAAAACTAACACCCCCAAAACAAAAAAAATCCCCCGACCCTCCAAAGAAGAACAGCAGCATTGCCCATGTACATGCAGACCGCGTCGAAGAACGGCGGCTCTGGGACCTGTCTCAAAGTTCCAAAAAAGGTAATATAGGGGCCTTAATACTTAGAATAGGGTTTGGGGGTATATTTTACTAGGATTATAATCAGGAACCCCCAAAACCCTCTTCTAGTTATAGGCAGCTAAGGTCCCTACATTACGGAAGGTCCTTGTCATTGTCCTCGGTCCTAGGTGCCCTACTCAACCGCCATGGTCAGGTGCAAAATTCACAGGCCCCGCCTTGTTGTGGAAGCCGAAATAGAAAGTACAGCCCAACTGCCTGAAGTCCAGTGTGAGCCCCTAGGGCCCTAGAGGGCCCTATCGAGGGCATCAGGGCGTGAGGGCGGAGGCGGAGGAAACGGATGGAGGAATAGCATGATTTCGACTGCACAGATGCGCTGCCCATTCCGCGTCACATCTTTTGCGGCTAACCCTTTTTTGCACAGGCTTGCGTTTATCCCGCCTGGACGTGTCGCACCCGTTCTCTGAACAAGGCCAAACACAAGAAATCACTAACTTAGAAAAAGCCTTTTAACCCTAAACCCTAAACCCTAAACCCTCCAGAGGAGCCTCTGAGGCAAGGAAACGGAAGGGAAGTCCGGTGCTCTCAAAGCCTCCACCACCCCGACATCTCACCGAGCTGCATGGTTGTAAGCTCGACGGTGCCCAGTTTGCCTGAGGCTTCAGGGAGAATTCTGATGGAGGCACAGGATCTTTGTGCCCACAGCCCTTTCTGACCTTCTGGTTTCGTCTTCCTGGACTGAACGGTCATATCATGTGTTGATTTCAGAGATTCTGCATGCGTCATGGGGAGTCTTCAAAAGGCGGTTGTATTACACATGATCGCCCCAGACACCCAAAGCATGGACTCACTGATTCCGGCTCGGAGTCCTGAATCCTAGATTCCCAGATCCGTTGCAAGCCGGCTTACAAGTCACCACAATCTTGGGCTTTGCGTGCCAGTGTAGGTGCAGCTTCAAGTCCATGAAGGAGCCCATCTCTGTATCCTGCAGATGTCGCTTCGGAAAAATCTGAGCCTGCCCTGCGAACCCCCTGATGGCCGTGGACTGAAGCACACAGATCCACAGACGCGCAGGCATCTGAAAAGAGCCACGCCGGGTCCTCGAGAACTTCCACCTCTTGCGCGATTGCGACACGTGGTTGAAGGTTTGGCCGTCGTAGACACCCTATATGTAACTACAGTAGTATCTCTGCTTAGAGGTACACAAACACCTTCAACAGCGGCCTAGAAAAGTAGTCTGTGGAGTTCACAGAGTTCCGGTAAACAATTACCGTGGGCTCGATGTTCATGCTGCTGTTGAAGCTTGCAGCTATGGTTCCGGCGCCTCACGCCTAACTGGGACTCCACGGTACAGACACCGACAAGCGCTGTATCGAGGTTTCACCGTGCAGCCGCATCTTGCTTGGAGGTTCATAGGACGTAATAAGTACAGCTATAAGTGCCCGAATTGGGGTTATAAGTAATTGTAAGTATAGTTACCTTATTCATGACCCTAGTTACTAAGTCCCATGAGCCTTTAAGTGCCGTCCGACCCCACTTTGTGGACCGAGCAGGACCGTTCCATTTCAGGCTTAGGGTCGCCCTCAACATGTACCTGAAGGTTCGTGCTTACTCTGCTTGTTTTAAGGATACAGGGTCTTAAGTTAGCGATACAACCGTGGTAAAGGAGCCTCAAAGGCTGCTCTTCTCATTCTGTCGAGAGGGAGTGAAGAAGGACTTTCCGAGAGTTGAGTTAGGCCCATACAGTAGAAACCGAAGGCACCTCGCCGAACTCTGGGGGCACCGTTCCCAGGTCTACCTCCACGGTAATCGGGGCGAGAAAGGACAACCTCGGACTGTACTGCTTTCTAGGGCTTCAAGTTTTTTTGGGGCGCTGCTTTAGGGTTTAGGGTTCAAGGGATCTGCAGAAGGTTTAGGGTTTAGGGATTGCAATCTTGATGACGAAAGACAAACATGAGCTGGCCCTGGGGGAACGGTAGGCCAGAATTAGCAAGTATAGTTCCGAAAGGCACCCCGTCTGCTAGATCGACACCCAACCCAAAGCCTCCGCGTGCATGAGGGAACTGAAATGGGCCAAGGCCGGCCAGCTGAGTCAGTAGGGTTTAGGGTTTAGGGTTTAGGGTTTAGGGTTTAGGGTTTAGGGTTTAGGGTTTAGGGTTTAGGGTTTAGGAGGATCCCGACTTGTGCTGCCCAGTCTCTTGTTGTGAAGCTTTGGAGCGATGATGTCCTGAGCAGGCTCTCTCTGGACTGAGCTGCTGTCTCCTCCCTAGCGTAGACTCCCTGCAAAGTGTCCCCAGTCTTCTAGAAGTGCACCAAGAGGGTCCTTCATGGCAGCGGAGACCTCTGGGCCAATAACCTCGGCGCCAGCTGTGGGCACGAGGACATGGGGCCGAAGGGGCCTTTTGACGGAGTCAGATAATCAGGGCTCAAAACGGTGCAGCGAGCTCGGGTGTTGCAGCCCAAGCCATCCAAGAAAAGTGGCTGGCCAGACCAGGTTCATCAAGAAGTTCGTCCAGCTGGACTCAATGGGCAGCTGCAAAGGCTTCGATTCCAGCTTCTGGCCAGGAACAGCACTGGTCTCCGGGCATCTCTGGGCTTTCTACAAGATGCGGGGCAGCTGTTGGGACTCTACTTAAAGGTTCATGGGACTAAGTAACTAGGGTTATAAATAAAGGATCTATACTTAATATGACTTATAACCCCAATTGGGGTACTTATAACTGTACTTATTAAGTCCCATGAGCCTCCAAGTACTTAAGGTTTAGGGCAAGCCTGGACCATGTCCTGGAGGGTCTTCTCCCGATTCGGAGCACCGGCGGCCTCACACCGGTGGAGAGCGCTGGCTTCGCTGTGGCTTGGGTTTAGGGTCTATAGGGTTTAGGACTCAGGACCTGTAGGGGCTTAGGGCTTTTTTTATTAAGTGTAATGGCGCCTCTTTCTGTCGCAGCGGCTTAGGGCTTAGGGCTCAGGACTCGTGACTTAGGACTTAGGATCTAGGACTAGGATTCGGGGTTGAGGGCTTGAGCTCCAGAAGTCGAGAGGGCTCTGTCACCTCAGGGCTTCGCTTCAGGGGAACCTGCGAAGCTGCGAGGGCTTCAGAGTAGAGGGCTCAGTGCGCCGAGGGGGGAGGGGCTTAGGATCTAGGTTCAGGTAATAACTTGACAACAATAGTGATAATAGTAATAATAGTAATAATAGTAATAATAGTAGTAATAGTAGTAATAGTAATAGTAATAGTAATGATAGTAAGAATATTCAATTTAAGAGAAAGCCATCGGCCCAAATCCCCAAACATCTGAGCTCAAGGGCTCCGCCTGGAAGTTCCCAACGATCTCCTGCATCTTCGGCGGGCTCCAACGTGAGACTAGCACTGCGACACTTAGTCACTTACCCAGAGACCCCAATACCCCTTAATTAAGGAATAGACCTTAAATCATAATATTATAAGGTCCCTATAATTCAAGGTATGTTCCTTAATTAAGGGGTATTGGGTTCTCTGGGTATGGCTACATGATGCTGCATGCCTCTTAACTTGCCGACGACACCTGAATTTAGGTGGCAATGCTCCCTCATATCCTGTGAAAACTCTTACGTCGAGCTCTTCAGGCCATCTGCTCGCACACAGAAATCGGAGGTCTCCTGGCCCATATACCGAGAGATCTCCGGCCAGATGCGATCCTTGAGTTCCTGGGTTCTGGCATTTTGGGGTTCAGGGTTTTGGGGACTAGGGGTTTTGGGCTTGGGTAGGCGCGGCTATGATGCTGTCTGGTGGTTTTGGATGCTCGCAATAGAAAGTTAGGGCGAATATCCTGTGTTTAATGGTCGTGCGAGGGTGCTAGCCTGCTACCTTACCTCTAAGCACCGAGACATTCTGGCTGCTATTCCCATCAACTGAATTGACGACTGGAGAACATCTTGCGAAACAAAAGCGCGCACCACACTCGATCCTACAAAAACAAACGCATAAGTGCTGGCGGATCATGCTTTTGCAGAGGAATAGACAGCAGAGTCGAGCTGCCACGAGCCAGAAGGGCTTCTGCTTCACCATCTCAAGTCGTGGCTGGCTCGGAGAGCCGTGCCCAAAGCTGTGACCACGGGAGGAGATCCACCTTTGAGGGACGTTGAGACTTGAAGACCAGCCGAAGGAGACGTCGAGAGTTATTTTGGGTGTGGCATCTTCTCCCATAGGGTCTCTGGGTGCTCCTCTGGGGTTCAAAGATGGAGCTCGTCTCGACACACTTCTGCGCAGGGTTTTGGGAGATCCTCAGGCTCTTTTGTCTGCGGAACCCAAATGGGACAGAAATCTGCTACACGATATTTCGGCCGGGTGACCTCGGCGTCCTACCAGGTGAAGAGCCCTACCGATTCCAGCTGAAAGACCTTCTCCCTAATCCTGTCCACAGCATTCCTGCGCACGCATGTGGCAAGGACAAAGATGCAGCTCCGGCCACGTTGTCTGCGATGCCTTCAGCAAGCCAAGTATGTCAAGGTGCAACTTGCACTCGCACAAAGTCACTTTTCAGCCACTGCAGCTCCTAAGCACACTGTGGAACAACTTCTTGCCCTTCGACTTCCAGTAACATTGCATCCCTCGGAGATGGCCTACCCTTCTACCCGTCTACCCACACCACAGAAGCTATAGGGAGAGAGATCCAGGCTCAGGATGGTCCATGTCCCCATGTCCCCAACTGCTTCTCCGCCGTCTGGCATCGAGCCACCCACCCGGATGTCGGAGCAAGTTGCAACCCCGGGTTCTCTCCCAAAGGCTTCGATTTTTTTGAAAATTTTGTTGTAATCCTAAACCATAAACCCTAAACCCTGAACCCTAAACCCTAAACTTCGATTTTTTTGAGAATTTGGCTGTCTGAACCTGAATCTCTCGAGCAAAGGCCTGGAGCGGCCCTGCCAACTCAACTTCCCGTGCCGCCGAGGCTGCTGGGCTTTGGGGCGCACCGGCCACGTACGAGGAGACGGAGGGTACGTACCTAGGTCCACGGTTTAGGGTTTAGGATTTAGGGTTTAGGGGTTTAGGTGCCATGTGATGAGTTGATCACCTAAGTTCAGTTCACTTCTTTGTGAGTTTTGGTTTATCCACAGATCGAATTGGCCAAGCTGCGACGGCGCGGGAGTCGAGCGCTGCGAGGGCGGCACATAATGGACAGGAAACGGCTGGAGGTTGCTGACAGTCGGACCTTGCAAGACTCAGTATACTAGAGCAGACTCGGGAATCTTAAAGTAGACGCTCGCAGAGTTTACAAAGGATGACAGGGAACAATGTAGTATTCGACTGGGTATGCTGAAGTAGACTAGCGTTTCGGCTTCAAGGCTCTGCAGCTGTGAGTCTCTTGGTCTCAGGGTCTTCAGCTTGGATCCCTGGCCTGAGGTTTCAGGATCTCGAGCGGACCTCATTACACCACATCTCATCCCTAAACATCCACAGTGCCACTGTGCATTATCACGGTCACTGCCCTCCACAATGTTGGGGCTTCAGGGTCTTTGGCTTTCTGGGCCTCTGTTCAAGAACCATTCAGAGCTCAATGCTCCGATGCCAGCAACGAGGATTGGCATCTCGATCTTCTACGCTGCAGTATCCGAAGCTCTTAAGGCTCAGCCAAGGCTTGCAACGTCGCCAGAAAATCTTCGGGATTCCCCGCAACATTCAGTGCAAGCCAGACGCTTGGAGCCGTCTGCGCCCTGAAGACGTCAATGAGTGTTGGAGGGGGTATTGACAACAGTTATGTTCTCCATAGAACTGCACTCCATCATGAGGCTTCACTCGGTTGAGCTACTGCTCGGGATGTCTTTCCTGTGAGCTTTCTTACACCTCAGCAACAGCCTTTGAGAAGCAGCCGGCCGTTTAGGTCAGATTTTTGGATGCCAAAAGGACTCGCTGCAGTGGATCTAGGCATCAAACGTACTGTCTTGCACGGTACCGCGGCTGATGGAGTATTGCTACACGATGCATATTATTTCGAAATCAAGCATAGTAAAGCTTGACTTATAATGGAAAGGCGGCATGCTACTACGACACATTCTTGCATATCTATGCACCATTTGCTGATTACGATTCCTTGCCATTGCCTGTATGAGCTATGGCAAAAATAGGTAACAGATAACACAGCTTGTGCCCAACGCAGCACCAATTCCTTGCATGGCGCGAGCAAGACTATGCCTCCGCCTCCGCAAGTATGCCCTCCCTAGCACGTCTTCGAAAACTTACCAAACAACGACGCAGATCGGACATATACTATTTACCGGGGCCCGGGCAGCACACGCACAGGGCCAGGCCGCAGAGGGGGCCATGACCCAGTTTGCGGTGGTGGCAGAGATGAAGCCCCAGGGCCATACCTGCACAAACCATCACAGCCTGAGCTTTCACCTACGACTTTGACAGGAGCTCAGCCAGAGTGGGGTGTTGGGTCGTCAAAAGCACTTGCCCAAACTGTGAAAATCGAGGTCTTTGCTCCCCAGAGCCCCATGGAAACCCGAAGATCCTTCCACGAGGACCGCTGGCTGCCTCACCACCGGAGGCGGTGCGCTGTAGCGCACGGGTGTGGGGGTCGTCCCCTGCCCGCACATGATGCTGCTCCTGCCCTTAAAAGCTTCAGAGAAAGCTCCCCGGTCACAGTCTGTTGCCATCACCGACACTACTTGGAGGCTCATGGGACTTAACAAGTACAGTTATATGTACCTTAATTGGGGTTCTAAGTAATTATAAGTATAGTTACCTTATTTATAACCCTAGGCCCTAGGTACTACGTCCCATGAACCTTTAAGTAGGGTCACGATACGGCCTTCGCAGAGACGGCGGCCATGGCAGCACGGGGATGGCAGGGTAGATTGAGTGGACCCGGGCTCACGTCTCTGTCTGTGCCAGGGGAGGTCTTGCATCGGATTCAGGAGGTCGACAAATGTATCTCGGCCTTTAGTTTTAGAAGCAAGCTGAGGTATCAGGCTGAAGGCTTATGCACGATGTTCAGAGCGATTTCCGTGCACAACGGTCCATCACGGCTCATCGCTGGGTCACTCGACAGCTGCAGGGTCCGGCGAGTTGTTTAGTCGCTGATAGCACGAACCAAAAGCCCTGCTTCTGCAGATGACCTACCGATGAGTGTGAACATGGATATACACCACACCTGCTAGCCTGAGACGAGGACGCAGAATGCGCAAGCTTGCACTGCAAGCTATCCGCAGCTTGGCCGCAGGCAGTGCGCACTCAAGCGATGCAAGCAGGACTTCAGCTTTAATGCGCTCCCTGACCGTGAGTGCTAGTCCCAACCTGTCAGCGGATTTATTCCCGCCAAAAAATTAAAAAAATGCCAAAACACGAACAAAACCTGGACCTAACATGCATGTATACGCACCCCTGTTAGAGTAGAATTGGGCTCATACGGTATGAAACAATCGATACTGCCATGGATACCTACAAGGTGCAAGCTGGGGTGCTACGTTCATGCACGACAACAGCTGACAGTATGTTCCAACCATCATAAGACGATGAGCCATGGTGAACTGTAGCAAAAATGCTACTGCTCGCTGCTCCTACACACTTGGACCCTGTGTCTTGTGCCAGTGCAACCCTGAGAGGTCTTCACTCTTGAAATCACTTCTGTCTCTGATCTTGTGAACGTGTGATCCGAGACATCCTGGGAAGGCGCAGTGCTAGCATTACCAGAATGATTTTTGTGAAGTGTCGGTTTTTGAAACTTCTTAGTATCACTACTACTTGTACTTTGAGTATGATTAGTATGATTGGTATGATTAGTATGAGTAGAATTTAGCAAGATTTGTACAGTATAAGTCAGTACAACTTAGTATAAGTCAACAACACTTAATATAAGTAGCATTCTGCGAACCATGTCCGAAAACAAAAACGCGCGTGGCCTCGACGAAGCTGAGGGGACCCCGAGCCAGGTAGAGGCCGGATCCCTCGTCATCCCAGCCTCCCGTTCTATAGGATCCCTCGAAGGAACCCTTAGAGAAATCATTGAAGGGAGACCCTTATAGGAGCCCTTGAGGTAGATGTTAGGGGGCTCATGAACACTATGGAAGCTTCCATCATCGACGGTACGTGGGCATGCAGGGTTCATCTGCTGCCCTGCGCTGGAGCGGGCCGTGATGACAAAGTGACGGCTCTTGTGTTGAAAGTCTTTACAGCATTACCTTAGGGTTTAGGGTTTAGGGTTTAGGGTTTAGGCTGCCGAACTGCACATCTCTTCGCAGCAACCCCAGCCATGCTTCCCAAGGTGTGATGTGCAGCAGCCCACCTTCTGGCAACGAGTACGGCAGCAGAGGCCTAGGCATGGCATCGGAAAGGATATGTGTGTATATATATATACATAGCTACATATATATATATATACATATATAGAGAGAGAGAGAGTAGGCTGTATAGTAATGTAGTAGATCATTCGGGCTTACTGTAAGTTCATCGAAATGCGAAAACAAAACTGCTCGGAGAGGAGAACCCACAAAGAGCGAGTTCGCATGAAGCCTTGAGGTTGACAAGCAAGGAAGTAGGGATTGATTTCTGAGATGATTGCATGCAGGCTGCGGACCGACCTTGCGGTAGTGCAGTGGCTTTCGGGGTGGGGAGATGATGAATCGCAAGATCTATGCTCCGAATCCCTGCAGTACAACGACTTCCTGACTGCTGTCCCCGGGGACAGTGCACCTCTACACATGTACATACACACATACACACATACATCCATCCATCCATCCATCCATCCATCCATGCATGCATGCATGCAAGCAATGTAGTATGTATAATCTGTGTATGAAAATGTAGAGTTGGCAAACAGCTCAGGAAGCCACAACAGAACACATCTCACAAATTGGCTTTGTCAAGCGGCTGATCCGCTCCGTCTCGCTCCTCGATCTCAAAGGCTGTCCTGTTTCAGGCTCATCGTTGACAGGTGCCACTCTTTGGGTTAAGGGCTTCGGGTTTAGCGTTGAAGTGTTTATCGATTGAGAGCCTTTGTCCACAGCATCTGCCTAGGGTTTGTGCTTGGCTGACATGGCTCACTGAGTTTGGATGCCGAGCCCTCTCAGGACTCGGCTCTTACGGTACGATCTGCAACATTCTTGATTTGTCAAGTAGCCCTCCTTCTACGAGCCTTTTCTGACCTCTATGACATAGGACTGAGGCTCTAATAAGGGGATCTTCATCATCAGCGAAGACGGTTGCCAAGTCTGTGCGCGTTGCACTCGTGCACCTGATGTTGCCACTGTCACTTGTCAATTCGAGTGTCGATCCTCCTAGCAAGCAAGGAACGAAAACCCTGTTCGTGCACGGACTCGATGCTCCTCTGATGAAGGTCAGACCTGCCCCCCTCCTCGCAACAAAGCCCTGCATGCTTTTGTAGCTTAATCATACTACTTCTGAGACTACGTAATACTAACTTACCAATATGCATCTGTGGGGTGGAGCGGTCCCGCTCTTCTGCTTCTCATCCTCCTCCCAGGTGAGTGCGGTGTAGTTCGAGCGGTTGCCTCGGACACGGGCTCCGGGCCCGGCTGTGCAGCTGTGTGGTTGAAAGATGAACATGCATGCATGTGTATACATATGTGTGTGTGTATGCATGTGTGCATCTACATATATATATATATACTCACACATACATACATATTTGTGTATATCTATGTGTTCATGTGTTTACTGACTCATGTCTTACTGCGTTCTTTAATCCTGTTTTTACCTATGTACTTATTTGCTTATTTGCTTATATATATCTACGTATGTTTATATTCGTGTTCATATTCATACATAGTCATGTTCACAATTGTGTTTATGCATATTCCTATGCACATGTGTATCATACTTTTTATATATTTTTCATCTATACACATGTGTATATATATATATATGTATCATACGCGTACATAGATTTTAAAAAAAATGCGCGCATATCCGTTGGTCTGTCTATGTATGTATTTATCTGTTTGCTCATTTATTTGTGCTTTCATTTTGTTGGCTTGTATCTTGTTGCCACACTCACAGCTGCAGACTGCGGCTCCCCCAGAATCCCCACAGCGCCCTGCTAGAACCAAAGCCTGTGTCGATCTTTTCTCGTGAAGGAGGGGCTGCGAGCAGAGTCAGTCAAGTAAACGAGGGCCACAGCCTCTGATTTCCTGCGCAGATAACATGGGATAACTTCCGAGACCATGAAGTCGTGAGCATGCAAGCTTCTTGAAGCCTCTTTGGTGCACCCACGTCCGGATTCTCAGCCTTTTTCCATCAGAAGGCGACACGCTTCTCTCCCGCGCTGGGATTTTGGGCGTGGCTTCGCAGGAATCAGAGCTTCTCCAGCTCACTTCTCACTCAGGCGGAGGGTGGTCGAAAGGTGAGGGCGTCAGCGCTTCCACAGCAGCTCGCCTGGGATCAAAGTCTCCACACAGGAATGCATGCATGCTTGCATCCCCTGAGTGTTCCTTTTTAGCATGCAATACAAGTGCATAACACATCGACGACTGCCTTTTGCCTATCCGATTTGTCATAAACGTGTATCAATGAGGGTTAAGCGAACCCACCTGAGTTCACGGGTGGGGGCTATCTTCCTCCGACTTCGAAGTCAGCAGAATCACATACGTGAAATTTATGATGCAGTCCCCTGACCGTCGACCGTCCCCTGACGGATAAGCTTCGTTTAGCTTTATCCGTTATCCAAAAACCATCAATATAGTCGCTATCTTCATTGTCCTCACAGCTCCGAAGAAACCACCCAACAACCCAAAAGCCGGCGAAGCACATGCCCGCAGAGTAGGAGCTCAGCTTGGCGCCACAGATGAGCCCGTTACCTTCGTTTCAGACAAAAATGCGCACAGGTGTCTGCTTCGAGACCTTCTGTGAGCTCGAAGCATTCAAAGACTTAGGCCTCCGGTCTCTCACCCCCAAAGCACAAAGCAGGCAACCCTGAGCTATCAGAGAGCCGCCGAGGCACAAGCAGCCGTTACCAGAGATGTCGCGCCTGGCCGGAGTCATTGCTGGCGTCTGAGTTTTGGGATTTAGCGTTTAGGGTTCCTGAAGAGGTGCTCCCTCTCGGCCAAGGCACCCTTGGCGAAGAAGTTGCCTTGGCGCCAGGGTGTCTCAGCGGAGTGGGGTCGTGTTAGTAGTGTAGATGCCTCACGACGATGGGTTGAAGCTTCAGGGGAAGTGTGGGAACGCTCATCTATTCGACATTGGAGTATAGGTTTGACGGGCGATGAACATGCTCAGGACAGAGTTGCAAAGTGAGTAAGCGAGAGAGAGAGAGAGAGAGAGAGAGAGCGAGAGAGAGCCAGCGAGAGAGAGCGAGAGAGAGTGAGAACGTCAGACAATGCCTTGATCGCTGAATCAATTCTTCCTTGACACGACCGGTCAACCCAACAAACCCAACACCACAGCCCGAAGTGTCTAACACGTCTTCAGAGGCCCCGACCGTAGTGGACTTCGAATACCGGTTTCCTGACAACAGACTCGACTTGTCTGGAGGACCGTCCAAGATCTGTGGCCACAGTGCCTCTCTAGGTCAATGAAGGATCCTAGACTATGCAATGAACATGTTATACTACATTATACTATGTTATACTATAGTATACTAGATTAAACTCTACTATACTACAACTATACAATACGATGCTAGACTGTACTGTACTATACTATACTGTACTACGTCCCACCACACTATATTATATCATATCATACCATGTTTCACTATAGTATACTACACTACATAATATCCGAGCTCAGAGCCCTACTTTGCTGTAAGTGGCTCCGAAGGCGGGGCCTGAGCGCAGCGATGCACTCCACCAGGGCCGGCTCCTTGCCGAAGCCTGGGTCGAGGCGCCGCTCCATCTTGTGGTCGGATACGTGCGTGTTTGTGTGTGCATGTTATGTGGAGATACATAATGAAATATATATATATATATGTATATATATATATATGTGAGCATATATATATATATACACAAGAAGCGATCGAGATGTGTATATATATAATATGTGCGTGTGTATATTTTTATAGAGGGAAATGCTTAGATAGATAGACCTAGCCAGCCAGCTAGCTAGCCAGCTAGCTTAGCTAGCCAGCTAGATAGACAGAAAGATAGTAGATAGATAGATACATAGACAGATGAACAGATAGACAGATAGATAGGTAGGTAGATGGATAGACAGATAGGTAGGTAAGTAGGTAGGTAGGTAGGTAGGTAGGTAGATAGATAGGTACACAAATACATAGATAGATAGATAGATAGATAGACAGATAGATAGATAGATAGATAGGTAGCTAGCTAGATAGATAGATAGACAGATAGATAGATAGATACATAAATAGATAGGTAGATGCATACATGGATAGATAGCTAGACAGATAGATAGACAGACAGATCGCCAGATGGACAAATAGATAGATAGAGATAGATGGATGAACACAGCACGCAGAAACCAATTCTCGCACCAAGCCTAGCAAGATCCAAGGCATGCCAAGCTGCCTGCGGGATTGATGACCTCACCGCGGAACGGTGCCCACGGAACAAGACTGTTTGTAGAAGACCTATCAAAAACCTTGGGTTTCAGGGCTTGCTGGGATTTTGTGTGTGTCTAGCTGTGAACACGCAGGTCTGAGATCGCAGCAATGGCGTTAGCATCGGTGCCGGACAGTAGCCTGTCACGAACTGCCGGGGAGACGACATCTGCGGTGGTTTGACCAGGCCGGATGCTGGATGTTACTCTCTTCACGCGTTCTACTTGCCCCCACTTGTGAATTCAAGTTGGAATACATCGCACACTGTGCAATCTCAAAAGCCTGATGCACTCGTCCAGGTCGTTCGTCTGCAAATGTTCCACTTCCACTCCGAGCTCTGCAGCGGTGGCGCGAATGTGCGCATCCTCGGAGCTTCGGCACGGTGGACGCAATCTGTTTGCTCTTCTGGAAAGCCTTCGGCTTACTGGGACACCGCTTAGCACTGCAGCTTGTGCGTTCATGGCAAGCATCGTAATCCGAAAGCTGAGCGGACGATCGGAAGTATGTCCGCGACTCTTCCGTCGAGCCTCTCGTGTCTAAACCTGTCCAGAGATCAACCGTGCCATACGGTGGAGCAGCATGGGAGTTCCTACTATATACAACAGCAGAACAGCAACATTTCGAGGTCTCACGAGGTCTCTGCTCTAGGGACGTAGAGCTTTTGCTGGGCTGTGTGCTAAAACTCCAGCAGTAACCTGTATGGTAACCCACAAGAGCACAGTACAGTACAGTATGGCAGAATAGAGTATAGCATAGCATAGCAGCTAGCATAACGCAGAGCACATCATAAATCATAAGACAGTAGAAGAACTACCCTGTTTCAGCTCCTGCCTTTGCCATTCAGCACCTCAGCTGCACTTTTCAAGCTCCAGCACCGTAAAAGTGACGATGGTGATGATCATGAAGGTGAGGACCATGACTATGACAATGACGACGACGATGATGATGATGATAGTCGTGTGCAATATGATCCTGCAGTGATGTTGCTGGTCAAATAATCCCCCAATCCGACCAATGCTGATGCTGCTGGTGCTGCTGGTGCTGCTGCTGACACTTCCGCTGACACAGCTGACATAGCTGCTGCTTACTGCTGCCGCACCACCAACGTCACCACCACCAGCAGAAGTATGCTCTCTGATGATGATGTTCTACCCGCAGCCGGCTGTTGGACGTTGAGTCAGAACTTTCAATGCGGCGGACGAGACGCGAAGAGCAGGTTGAGTCACATCCTGTACATGTGGGAATGGACCTGCTGCTAGAGCCTACATGTCAGGCAACTAAAATGCTGCTTGATCGTCTCACCGAGAACTGCTAACTGTCCGAAGCGTCCCGTCACCCTTGACCTCCTGCTTGAAACTTGCTGCATGGCACCAGAAGTCGCACAGTGCCCGCCATTGATGCAAAAGGGGCAGGGCGCCAGGACAGTTTCCGAAGGAGCACAGGTCCGACAGACTTCATCGTCGACGTTCAAGCTGAAGCTTGGACAATTCTGAAACTGGCTTGTGTCGGCTTGCACGGTTAGTCTTGGAAAAGTGTGCCATCTGGACCTATGAAGTATCTGAAAGCCGAGTAGAAGCAGCTAAGAGAATGTGCTACATGCATTTGAGGATGCTCTTGATCCACAGGTCGGACGGAGCTCGCTTGAGCTTTACAGTGTCAAAGCTGCAGGAGCCGTCTCCCTGCACACCTGAATCACGCTAGGTGCAGCTCCTGATAAAACCCCAACTACTGCCGCGCCAGCGTAGATGCTTTGATTCCTGAATCTCTTCGTCACGCACGAGCATGAGCAAAAAATGATGGACAAGCAACAGCCACATTGCTATCCCTCTTGCCACTCTTGCCCTTTTATCTACCAAACCCCAGGCACCAACGACCTGCCACTTGGAAATGCAACCTTCTCGGGCACGGGCTGGAGGGCGATGTCCCTCTGGGGCTCCTTCCGCCTCCACGGATTTCGTTTGGGGCTTCGGGGTGGCATATTTATCATATTTGGTTTTTCAAGGGGACATTTCGCATGTGTGACAATGTGCAGATGGTGATGTTGGTGATTGCTGTCTGGGTTTAGGACTGCAAAACTCTTTGGAGGTGGGCTCTCGAGGGTCAAGAGAGGTCGGATGGTGCTACGCGACTTGTGAGTTGCTTTCGAGATGCATACGAGCAGTTTTCCATCGTAAGTGCAGCCCTCAACATGTAAAATCCTTTGCAGTTGATGGCCCCTGGCAGTCACTGACTTCATCCAGGCCTGCCGAGCCTCCCGTGCTCGACGCGGACCTGAGACGAATGCACAGTTCGACAAATCCAGTGCAGAAAAATACATAAGATCTGCGGAAAGGCCGCGAGTGACGCAGCTTGAGCTTGGCAGGATGACGAGGACTAGCCGTTTGATCCCGTTGACTTGGCACTTGGCTCGAACACGAATGCGGGCCGTATCAATCTGAGCTTCGGCGGGACATGAAAGCTACCAACTTGACATGGCAAGTCTCATCTCTTCCTTCCTGCGCATGTCAGTCTTTCCTTTGGATCCTTGGTCATACATAGCTGCGCCGAACCACAGCACGCTGCGCTTCTTGAAACCTTTCGGCCGTCTCAAGTGTCTTCTGCACTTGTTTAGCCTAAGTAGCTCCATGATTATTGAAACGATGTGAAACTGTCGATGAGCCTTTCCAGCTTGCTGAGGCCGCTACCGGGCCGTCATGCATTGAGTCCTCTCTCCAAACCGCAGGCTAGTGGACGAGGCTTTGTTTTGTTCCTTGGTCTCCCTGCATCCTGCTTTCAAGTGCACACTTTCTCAACCCGAACTGCTGCCGCCGAGACCAAACCTCCTTTGCAATCTCTTGACAAGTGCGAAAACTATGCAGCTACGCAGTGTCGCTAGGCTGGACTCTTCATGTATCCAATGCAAGCCTACTCTGCCACGCGCTGTGGTCGGAAGCGGGTCGAGCCGAAAACACAACTGCTGCCGGCCTCAAGGCGGAGAATCGCAAGACCGGTAGAGATTAAACCCTGAACCCTAAAGCATAGAGAGCTGGGGCAGCCCTGACATTCCTCTGCTTCTGCTCGTGGCCCGATGCCCTAAACCATGCTCGGCCCCTAAATCCGCAACCCTAAACCCCTCTTTCGTTCCATATTAACCAGGAGAAGACCACAGGAAACCCTAAAGAAGCGGATATGGTTGGCAAACCTTGCATCCGTCTCCAAAGGCCTCAGCTCCCCAGTCACTTTGTAACTCTAGCTGCATGGCCCTGGTGCAAAAAAACACAATGCGATCAGCCCTTGCCGGCATACGCCACTCATGGATGCCAAGCTCCAAGCCCTACGAACCCAATACATGCGAGCCGTGCTACAGACCCAAACACGAGTTTAACCCAAACTCAAACTTGCAATATGACTCCTACGATCCTACATGCATCTCCGTCCGTTCCAGTGGCAAGGGAGCAAAACCGTCATCTGCTGTGGCGCCACATAACCCTGGTATACGTAGCATTGCCCCGCAAGCTACTTCCCGAGCCTGATTGCACAACTTCAGAACAGCTTCAGTGTATTAGGCCCGTGCAGGCTGAGGATGAGCAACCTGAACAAACACCGCCATTTGTGCATGCGCGTGCTTCGAGTCAAAGCGACGGCTCCACCCATTCGGGATGAAATAAGACATGGTCCTTTGGACAGCTCGTCAGTGGGCGTTTCGTCCTCATCAAACGGGATTCTCAGGCAACTTGGTGAAACACGTCCTACCGTAGAGTTCTTCTCTTGCGGCAGTGGTCATGGCAAGTTCTGGATTCGTCGAACCCAGGCCTGGTGGATGTCACTTGCAACTTTGGATGGGTTGGACATTCCAACATCCATAATGCGTATGATGTCGCTGCGGAAAACGAAATGGTTCTGAGCTTGACCTTCCAGATCATCCGGCTTTGGCGGGAAGGTGTCGCAGATTTGAACCGGAATTATCGGAAGTTTCTCCTGATGCGCGTACTGCAACTCCACATACGTCTCGTACTGAGCACCGGTTTTCGCACCATAGTCGGCTGTGCAGAAGGCCACCAGTGCTTTGGCTTGATACAGACCCAGCACGGTCTTGTCACCAAACGTGTCCCCTGCCCCCTGGGCTTCTACCATGAAGGTGGGCACGCCTTGATCATCCAGTAGCTCTTTCACACGCTTCATGTACTCAATCTTTTCCTCGCTGTTAAAGCGCCCTGAAATCAGAAGATGACTGCGTTGTCCTGTAGGGCACCGAATTGCAGAGGAGTCTGGGTATTAGGAAGAACATCTTCAACATCACGCACCCAAACTTCGTGTCAGCCGAAAACATGAAACCAAGATGTTAAATCCAGAACCAGCAAACCCGAAAACTCTGAACCCATCCAGCCCAAATGCAACCCCAAAAACCCCTCAAGCTTCAGCTTGACTCCGTGCGTTGCTGTTGAGGGGTCCAAACTCAGTCGCCACTAGCGTCACTAGAGGCATGAGCCAAAATCTAACTGTAGCAGTAACCCAGAATAGCTTCCCACCGCTTCACTGTCAGCCCGTCCTGGGGGTTTGACGAGTTGGGAGCTTCGACGGCGCACAGGACGCACGGCCGCAGAAGATGATGTTTCCTCCAGAGCTCCCGCTAGCTCCACGGGGAGTTCTGAGGGTTTACGGGGGCGCAAACTATGCGCTCTTCGTGCGTATCTGCAGATTACCCGCCTAGGACCTGGGGACCTGGGATCCTGCAGGTCCTGAGGTGGCAGAGGTTCCAATCGCTGCTCCTGAAAGGGAATATCATCCGACTTCAATTGCAGGTCGCCTTTCTGATCCATCCAAGCCGAAAATATCCTCATCTCTCCCTTCTTGTGACAAGTCTTGTGAGGTCCCAGTTTGTATTCACGATCTGGGTAGCCAGCTCTTCGAACCAAGACCGTAAAAGGCACTGGCTGGCCCGAAAACAGCCGGACGCGACACTCGTAGCCTTTCGCACTTGGCTGGTCAACTGTCATGTTCTCCGTGGAATCGTTTTTCTCGCCCCGCATATCTACATCCAGCCACAACCTCCTCTGCTCTTCTGCACACCCGCATTCCTTGTGGCTAAAGTACACTTCTTTCTCGCAGTCTGGACACTTCATATGCATATCCAGATCGGTCGGAACACCTGCAATCTCTTCAGTCATTCAGCAAAAAGGGAAACCCTAAAGCTCCAGACGGAACTACAAGCAAGACCCGAAAATGACAGCTACACGGCATGGGCCATTTACGGTGACACGTGCAGCAGTTGGCGCCTGGACTAGAGTTCTGCCAGGACAGTGTCACCCGGAAGGCAGCGTTCAACTTGCCGCCGTTGTCGAAAACCTCAACGTTCGACACAGTCATCTGCGATTCGGCTAGGAAGTTTTTCTCAAGACGCGCATTGGGGTCATCTTCCACGGCTCTGATCAGCTTGCGAGCCTCTCCTCTGTCCTCCCAGCCCATAACAAGAGACGCATGAAGGCTTTTCGCGGTCCTCCGAAAGCTTTGCAACTCTTCAGTGCGCCTTTCCTCCATCGCATGGGCATGTTGAGTAGAACCGTGCTCGCCGCCGTCAGCTGCAGCGCTGGAAGCGCTGACGTGCTGTGCTAAAGCATCATCAAACTGCTGTATTCCGTCCTTAAGTGCTTCTTCATCGTCATCCGAGGCTTCAGCTATTGCTTCCAAAGCCTGCTTCAAGCCAGGATCCGAAACGTCATGTTGAAGCCTTTCTGCGGCCTCTTGCGTTCCTTCACACAGCGAAATCTGAAGCACCCGGAGCATGGACTCGAAATCAGCCTTGACCTGGAAGTCCTCACCCTCGTCAAGACCTTTTGGGGCCCTGCGAACTCGTCGCTCTTTGCCAGATCCAGATTTTTGCTGCTTCATCTCCTTGAACCACACACGATATTCGTGCTCGCCACTCCGGACGTTACAATCACTTGCCGCACCAAGCTCGCCACGCAGCAGCCAGGCCTGATACTTGCTCTCCAGTGTGTCTGATGCTGGGCGGCTGAAGGGATACCATCCGCTCGTTTTCCCATTTTCCTGCACCTTGTCGTGCCAATACTGCCAATTTACGTGGCGGTAGCTGAAGTCAATGCTCGATACATCAACACCTTCGACAGAATGAGCGCCAAACCTTAGCTAGAATTGAGCTATTACTTGCATCAACTTGCCGAAAGCAGACGCTGCACCTCGGACACCAAAGAACTGCAGAACGGACTCCTGAAGTTCAAACCTTCTATGCCTGAATCTTGGTCTGTGGCAGCAACCCAGAAATTTACAAACTCTGTGCCATGGACATCGAAGAACTCCAAGAGCCTGACAACCGCTGACCCGGCATTGGTGTCTTTTGCACGAATTTGCCTTGGAGCTTCGGAGGCCAGAATCGACAGCGCAGTCTTACCATCGTCGTCGACCTGATGGGTCATGCAAACACTGAAAGAGGAAGACAGCATGAAGAAGGACGGGCCTCGTTGGCTTGGGCACCACGGCTCAGGCACATCTCCACAGGATCCTCGTCCAACTGTCGAGTCTCTGAGGCCAAGCTTCGTGCCACTTCGCAAATGACCGATCGCAAGCTCCCGTGGCTGTTGACAAGCTGTGGATGCGCATCTGCCCACTCTTTAAAGCGCTGCCAGTCCTTCTCGCGAATAAGCTTCCATACTGATGGGACGCTGTCCAGAGCCAGATTAATGGTCCATTTATTTGGATCATCGTAGGTCTTGCAACCGTCGACGTTTTCTATGCGGAACATGCAATGTGGCGGAAACATCACAACTCTTTCGTGAGGGTGCTGCTTGCGCGACAGGGCGCCGACCACTGCTGGAACATACCCTGCATTCGGCAGATCCCCGTCAAAGTGAACACGCACGGCTGTCGCTTCACGGGCTGACTCGGCCGAAAGGTCCTCATTTTTCAGATCTTTCAGTTTCACCTTCTGCAGGTCCATGACTCTCGCCAGCGCGAAGTGTGGCCAGCAAACTCTCTCTTCCAGCAAGTACAAGTTAATCTGGTCCTCATCCAACTGCATTCGCCGCTCAACGACTTGGCCTGCTTCACCAAAGAACTCGAAGCCTTCAATCTCATCCTGTTGGGGCCTTTCAAACAGACTTCGCAACGCTCGGATGTAGGGAGCAAGCCGCGGCAGCAGGACTTCATCGTCCGTCCACAATGATAGGTTCACCTCCTCATACAGGCGTTGGTTGTTCATGTAGAGGTCCACCACCCTAGCCTTCCTCTGGCCCTGGTCCTCGATCCAAGGTATCCCCATCTCTTCAAAGAAGCTGCACAGCTTGTCTAATTCTGAGTATGGATCATGGACTTCCACATTCTGAATAAACCGATATGTCTTGCCGTCAGTGGCATTCTCAGCAACAACTCCAGGGCCCATGGAAATGTATCTCACCTCACACACGATTCTCCATCCGGAGAATTCGGGCTTAGGGTAGCCTGATGTCTCATGCAGCACAAACACAGTGAGAAAGACAACATCAAACCCAGAAGCCACGCTGCTGCAACTAAAGCATGAAAGCCAAACAACACAATCCTGGTGTCAGTGTCATGTTGAAACTGTTACCCTATCGGCATTCTTCGGCCACCAGCTCAAGACTGCCAAAAACTTGAGGGGACTCTTCGTTGGGCCTGCGAAAGAACAAGAACCGATCCTTGCCTGCTGCCCACTCTCTCCTGGCCGATTGAGAGGGAAGGCGGTAATGATGGAGCCCAGGTCTCGCACACGATTCAGCTGGCTCCCCACCATGACATCATCCAGAGGACACCTCGGCTGCTCTTGATGCGTGGAGGCTTTCGGCAAACGCAGAACATGTGCAAGAAAGGCTTATGCATCCCAGATCAACTAAACCCAATCTGATTCCAAGCACGGCCGCAGCCGACCGACCGCACTGTGGTAGTCACAAAGCAGTCTGTGGTCATCCTCTGGATTTGAATCCATGGTCTGCCCCATGTCGATGTATCTCAAGGCGGCCTGAAGGCCCAAGAAAGCATGTGACCTGTGCATTTATGGAAGTAGCTCCTGATACCGGCAGTGCTTCCTACACGATGCCTCCACACATTCTCTAGCTGTGCTATTACTGTACATGTTAACTTGAGATGCGGTGGAGGAATGCTGAATCTGCTGGGCCTCGAGGTGCTGCTTGTCCTCTGACACGATCTTGTCCTGGTATTCTTCGAAAAAGCTTTCCAAGGAGGCTTGCATAGGTGTGTTGCCCGTGCTGGTCAACTCATCGGGCAGTGCCAAAACGGGTAGGCCGCTAATGGTGCATCTTGTAGCAACACCCTCAGCAATCGTGGAGCGCTCGAGGTACGACGACCGATGCAGTTTCTCCAGGTTTTCGGCCAAGAAGCCACTGGAGCCCGGCATGTCTTGTGCGGATTTCTGCAACTCTTTCTGCATCTGCTGGTGTACGGCCACGATCTTGCCATAACAGTTCATGGAATCGTCCACACGTGTCACGTCCAGCTGGGTCGCCCAGGTCTTCAATGTGTACATGGCATCCTTGCTTGCTCTCACGGTGTTCATATCCTCTATGGGGCCCTTGACCACACTCAAAGACGTGCAGCTTTTCAGGACTCGGTGGCCAATGGTAGGATCCGGGAAGACAAGACACAGCATGACATCCGCAGCATGGTAATCGCTGCAAACGTTCCAAAACCTGAGCAGGTCTCGGTAACACAAGTCGCATGTATGTCTGCGCATATTTCTGTTGCATGTCTGTCTGTCTGTCTGTCGGTCTGTCTGTCTGTCTGTCTGTCTGTCTGCCTGTCTCCCCGTCACTGTCTCTGTCCGTGTATCTGTGATTGTGTCTTCCTCTTTCTCTTCGTGTCTCTTTGTGTGTGCGGAGGTCTATCTCTATGTCTCTCTGTGTGTCTCCGTGTGTCTCTGTGTGTGTCTGTGTGTATCTGTGTGTGTGGGGGTGTCTGTGTCTGTGTCTGTGTCTGTGTCTGTGTCTGTGTCTGTGTCTGTGTCTGTGTCTGTGTGCATGTGGGTGTGAGTGTGGGTGTAGGTGTGCGCTGGCTCCATTTGCAGGCACTAAACCAAAAGACCAAAAGAGACAACATGCTTCAAGAAAAGTCCAGAAACAACGGACGCACGTCGACTTCGGCAACCTGCCTGTTGAGACCTGGCGCTAGCTGCGCCAGACTCCCGCAAATGAACCACGAACTCATCTGGCGATCGAAGATCTGCTGAAGGTCCAAATCCTGATGCCTTGCAAGGCCGGCATCTATGGGCACCAACCACGGAGCCTCTGAAGCACTCGACAAGCGGGGAAGAGAGCTTGGTACCAAACAGGCTGCTCGGACCTGCTCACCATCGAGGATAGGTGCCGGACTTATCAAATGCACCGCCCATTCCGGATCAGAAGGGTCACAAGTCGTGGAACGGACAACACCTGTCATCACGAATACATGGGATTGCTGCTCGCTCCATGGCTGGTTTGCCCCGCTCCTTCGACAAGTAGGGATCGATTCGTAGTTTCAATCGTTTGGTACCCGGTACGTTCCTTGGACGTTCACATCTGAAGCCTACCTATTCATGTCATGGAGCACTCCAACCAGAGTTGACGCATTTCCTTCTTGCTTGGAGTGTCGAAATGGGCTACATGATAAATGTGGTACCTTGCAACCTGGTTTATGGTATGGAGTCTGTTGGCATCAAAGCGCTCAAAACTGAGGGATCCTACATGTGCATTTGCTGCTCCATGCCCTGCTGTGCCTAATATTATGTGGCTTCAAAATATGCGCAACGACAATCCGACATCCTGTCATCTCCCACCACCGGCTTTATGGCGAAAACGCACGCAAGATTCCAGAACCCAATGTTGGCGCTTTTGCGAAGGGATATTGCAACCAATCTTGTTGTCTGTTCGGCTGGGTATCCTTGAAATCTGGGACGAGACCCAAAGCGCTTCTCATACTTTGATTATTGCTGACTTCTTGCTTCTGGTCATGCTTCCGTCTGCCGACCTACTGGTTGTTCGTCGATGGTTGGACGAAACAAAAGAGTCTCAACTTACAAAACCAGAAATTTTTTGGCTGTAGAAAATATTCAGATTCTACAACTCTTGAGGTTTCGGGAAATTGAGCCCGGTCCACTTTCTTTCAACTACATTCGATCATAACTCAGTTTTGTCGAACTTCTTTAAGGGCCAGGAATTGTTTTGGTAATTTTTGTTGGGGAATTTTTTTTCGGTGGGGCTTCGAGCTTATTTTACTAGGAAATACTCCACTTTCTTTATATTTTTAGAGGAAAACCTGAATTTTCTTTTTTTTTCGCAAATTTTCCATGTTTTCGAAGAAAATCTGGATTTTGTTCTAATTTCACAGACAAAAACTTAATTTCCTCTATATTGTGAAAGAGAACCTCAATTTTCTCCTTTTTCTGTTGTAAGAAATTACCATATCTGGCTGTCAGCTACGGTTCCTCGGCTTCTGGTTTCCGGCTTCTTGGTGCTAAGAAACTGTTAAGTTAATCTCTAATTTTGTGGGAACACACAAATTTTATCCACGTCTCAACAGGGAAACTTGAAGTTGCTCTACTCTATTTTCGGCGGAAGACACGGATTCAAGCTACGCTTCAACAGAAACCTCAAATTGCTCGATTTTCAGCTTGCTGTATGTTCGCTTGGGAAATTCCTAATTCCTCCATCGGTTCATAGGACAACACGAATTTTCTCCACGTTTCAGTAGGAAAACCTCAAGTTGCTCTAAATTTTAGTTTCGACACGAATTTTCTCAACGTTTTCAACAGGAAAAACTGGGAAATTCTACCTCCATGATGTATGATGTAATGGTAAAACAAGAATATTTTCCAAAGCTCCATTCCCTCTCCTCGACAGACAACGTTGCCCGTTTCCCAAGACGAACTGGGCAGAGTGGACTGCGCTGTCAAAGCCACGGCTTGACTGATCTTGGCCTTGCTTTGCGTCATGATGTCTTGATATTGCTGACACGCAACGGTTTGCAGCTCAGAATAAAGGATCAGAGTCACAATAATTCATTCAACCGAGCTGGCAATGTGTGCCCTCGAACGCACACCGTCAATTGCAGTCATCGCGTCGATTTGAGCCATGTTTGGTTTGCAAAACCAGCTTTGCAGCTCTCTCTGGGGAGGGTGTTGTCAGCTCCCACTCTGTGATAGCTACAAGCCTTGTTTCCAGACATAGGTCAGAATTCGTTACTTTTGGGCACTGACGATCTGCGGGCCTACGGCCCGCTGCTCCCACG